CGCATTACCACAGTGGGTGGGCTATTTTTTTAAAAAATTATTCTTTGTCGAGATGAGGTTTCACCATGTTACCCAGGCTGGTTTCAAATTCCTGGGTTCAAGTGATCCTCCTGCCAAGGCTTCCCAAAGTGTTCGAATTACAGGGATGAGTCACCATGCCCGGCAAAGATTATATTCTTAAGCTCTTTCTAAATTCCTAAAGGGATAATTTTCAAACCATTCTCTCAATTTTAAAGTGTCATCAAGCATGACCTTGATGACATAGAGAAAAGTAGCTTTTGTTTACACATTTCATATTAGCAATTTATAGCTTATATCTCTGGGGGATTTTTAATCTAAAAACACTAACTGAAGCTTGGTCATTGTATTAAGCTTTGAGATGTATTATCCTGCCTTACCTTATTGTCCACAGCAATGGCTGCTGTGCATTCAGTCCTTAAAAAATTCTCTAACCTCCTGTCCCTACATCAATTGCAAGGGAAAAGGAAATCTTCATCCTGGGTTTATATGGGGAAAGGTGTATGAAATTCCTTATTCACAGAAGATTTGTTTTAGTCCATTTTGTGATGCTTAATAGAATGCCACGGACTGGGTAATTTATAAACAATATATACTTCTTCTTATTCTAGACGTCAAGTTTAATACCAAAGTACCAGAATCTGGTGAGCATTCCTGCTGTATCATCCCATGGCAGGAAATAAAAGATCAAAAGAGCACACACATCCAAGAAAGATGGGAGGGGTTGGGAAAAGGGGAATGAACTCAACCTTTTCTTAGGAACCCACTCCCTTGGTAATCACATTAATCCATTCATGAGGTCAGAGACCTGATGACCCTGCTAATCACCTCTTAAAGGTCCCATCTCACAACACTGTTGCACTGGGGACTAAATTTCCAACACATAAACTTTGAGAGATTTATTCAAACCATGCATAGCAAGGTTCCAATATTTTAAAGTTTTATTTATAATTTTGCTGCTTTAAAATTAGAAACAGCATTGCAAATGTTTTTAGTGGTACAAAGAAAGTGAAAACAAAGTTGCTTGGCAGAAGAAATGATCCTTAGGCCAACTAACCTTATCTCCTCCTTTTTCATGTATCAATCCGGGGACTGGTATATTAGTCTGTTCTCATACTGCGAATAAAGACATACCTGAGACTGGGTAATTTATGGAAAAAAAAGAGGTTTGATTGACTCACAGTTCCACATGGCTGGGGAGGCCTGACAATCATGGCAGAAGGAGAAGGAGGAGCAAAGTCACATCTTACATGGTGGCAAGCAAGAGAGGATGTGAAGGGGAACTTCCCTTTATAAAACCATCAGATCTCATGAGACTTATTCACTATCATGAGAACAACACAGGAAAGACCCACCCCTATGATTCAATTACCTCTCACTGGGTGCCTGTCACAACATATGGAAATTATGGGAGCTACAATTTAAAATGAGATTTTAGTGGGACCACAGCCAAACCATACCAACTGGGTTGATTTTCCCACAGTAATAAAACTGGTTTGAAGCAGAATCTAAAGGCAATTCAAGTTTCTGAGCTAGAAGCCTCATACCGTTTCTCCTCTTTTTTTTAATTTCAGATATGAATCCTGCTCTATAAAAAGGATGTTGAATATATATTTTATCATAGTAACAGCTGAACACTATATATTTCCAATAAAAAGCAACTGAAAACAATAACAGTCTAAATCTTGGTAAATCACAAGTTGAGAATCAAATCAAGAACTCAGTTCCTTTTACAAAACAAAAAGAAAGAAAAAATCACCTTAGAATATACTTAATCAAGGAGGTAAAATATCTCTACAAGGATAACTCAAAACACTGCTGAAAGAAATAGATGACACAAACAAATAAAAATCCATCCCATACTCATGGTTTAGAAGAATCAGTATCATGAAAATGTACATATGTCCCAAAGCAATCTACATATTCAGTGCAATTCCTTATCAAAATACCAACATCATTTTCCACAGAATTAGGAAAAAAATCCTAAAATTCACATGGAGTCAGAAAAGAACCCAAATAGCCAAGGCAATTCTAACCAAAAAGAACAAATCTAGAGGCATCACATTACCTGACTTCAAATTATACTACAAGGCTATAGTCTATAGTATCAAAACAGCACGATACTTGTATAAAAGCAGATGCATAGACTAATGGAAGAGGATAGAAAACCCAGAAATAAAGCCAAATACTTACCGACAACTGATCCATAGGCATACGAAAACATAAATTGGGGAAAGGACGTCTTGTTTAATAAACGGTGCTGGGAAAACGGACTAGCCACATGTGGAAGAATGAAATTGGATCCCCATCTCTCACCATACACAAAACTGAACTTAAGATGAATTAAAGACTTAAATCTAATACCTAAACCATAAAAATGCTGGAAGAAAACCTAGGAAAAACTCTCTGCATGTTGGCCTAGGCAAAGAATTTATGACTAAGACCTCAAAAGAAAATGTAACAAAAACAAAAATAAATAAAAGGAACCTAATTAAACTGAAGAACTTCTTCATAGCAAAAGAAGTAATCATCATAGTAAAAATGCTACAATTTACTCATGCTACTCATGCTGAAGAAGAAAAAATAATTAGAGGATGTGCAGTCTTCTACTTGGAGAATAAGACAGGTTTCTCTGAATGCTATGAAGAGGATTCATCTCTACTTTCAAGGACCAACTCAAGTCCTACCATCATGCTTTGCAGACAAAATTCACAACTCTTCCATGTTCTTTGTTTACTCCTCTATTATAACGATCACTATCTTGGCTCATTTTTCCATTTGTTGAACGAGTGGACTGGCTTCTCCCCTAGAGTGCAAGTTCCTTGAGGTTAGGACATGGTTCTCTTTTTACGATTTGTCCGAGAATTCCTGTCATGGGCTTCTTGCCTACTAAGTAGTCAGTAAATGTGTGCTGAATTCAGCTAACGTGAATTTTACTGGAAGTTATTCTGTTGTTTTACTTACTACAAGTAGTAAAGCAAAGGAAAAAGAGTAAAAAGTAATAATAACAGAAAAGAAAAGAGAGACCAGGGAATAGGAAAGGAGAGGAAAAGAGGAGATAGGAGAGACAAGAGGAGAGGGAAGAAGTAGTAAGGGAGGAGGAAGGGAAAAGGAAAGAAGGGAAATTAGGGCTACTAACGTCAAAAGGCATAATTACTTCTACATGACATTGCTAGCTAATATTTCTTTCCCTTTTATATCTTAGAATAAAAGAGATTAGGCTTATCTCATGAAACTGACAAATCAAACAAAACAGAGCCTAATTTCACTTTTAATATACTTTATAAAAATCTAACATTTCATTTGAAGAATAAAAGGAGAAATCTCAAAGTTTAAATTAATGGTAGTTTACATTAAAATCATCTACAATAAAAGTAATAAAACCACAAAATTTCAATTTTTATAATGTTTCTGTATTATTTCTATGTATCTACTTTTCTATAGCTTTATATTTTACCTTTACTGCTTTATTAATATTCTTGTCTGATAACATCACATGGGAACATAGTAGGCCTGGGATTGGGTAGCTTCATTTGATAAGTTACATTGAAAGGCGATGGCTACCACATACCCAATGAGGCACTGTAGTTCCTTAGCAAGCTAGATTTAGGCATAGTTAGCACATGCCATCCTATTCACTTTGAGAATTCATGTTTAGAATCCTCGTAGAGTCTTAGAGAAATCAAACCCATATTGTGCTAGCCTCGTGTAATGAGAAGAGGGAGAAATGATGGGAAGATGCAACAACCAGGCCACTGAAAATGAAATGAAATGACAGCAAATTAGCTGTTTTGAGAATCTGGGGATTTTTAAACTATCTACAATATTGGTTTCAATGAGTGAATTTGCTTTGTCTGAAAGGATTTTAGCAAAACGTGTTTTGATTGTAGTGATTAATAAATTAAAGCCAATATAAATCAGTTATCTCCTAAATTCTCTAATCTCTATGAAATCAAGGAAGTCTTTATGTACAGACATACAGAAAAATCATTTGTCACCATTCACAAAAATATTTAAAAAATGGTTGTAACAATTACCTAAATGCCTAGCTTTCTTATTATCGATTCTGCTGTACATGGTTCTTTAAGACTTTAAGAGCGCATAATTTGTAATATCTTTTTTCCCTATAAGATGTTAAGAGTTTCAAAATGCCTCTAATCACCCCAGTACTTCCCTGACTCACCAATCTTGGCCTATTCTTCAGTGAGTGAGTCATGATGCTGGGGAAGAGTTCCTTGCCGAAACACAACAAACATTCTTCAGTTAACTGCTATTTACTGATCCACTAACGAACATTTGGGCAAGGACCTTGGTCAATGCTTTTCAAAGTTTAGTGAACCTAAGAATCACCAGGGGCGCACATTAAAACTATAGATTGCTGCCCCCTCATTCCAATTTACTGGGTCTGAAGTGGGGACTGGGAATTCACATTTTAAATAAGGATACCAAGTAAATCCCATGATAAGTCACTTGCAGACAAAACTCTGAAAGTGATGCTGACTTTGGAAGAGGAAAATGTTGAGGAACTCTTTAATACAGTGCAAAATGTCTATGAGAAGAATGATGAATTCAAAGGTTTAGTTGGAGGCACTTGACCTTTGAATCTGGAATAAGCTTTGCTGATGAAGGTAAGATAGCCAAAAAAGCAGCAGCAGATGAAAATTGTCATGAGCTCCCCCCTTAGCGCCTTCTACATTTAGCCCTACAGACTAGCAGTATCCTCTTTCCATTCTCTATCATCCTCCATATTCACATAGCATCTGGACATATATCGAAGATTGTCATCACATAGATTTATATTTGGGGACCAGATTTCAGTTCATGCTAGAAAAGTTGAAAGCATTATGGAAAATTGGTCTAGATAAAAAATAATTTGAAAACAAAAAGAAAGCATGAAGACAGAGAAAAAGCTTGAGCCTGGAGTGAGGCCAAGATCCTGAACACGCCAGTGAAGAATTAATGGAGAGGGAGGTAGAGAGGGCTTCGCTTTGCTGCTGTCAGTTGGACATTCCATCCAACTGCCCCTGAAGTACATTCCAGCCCACTGAGCATGCTCAGTTCATATGACTGACTTTCACTAAGTATAACAATCAACAAGTTCACCAGAAAGCCTTTCCCAACATCAGGACACTAAAGCGACCACAGAAAACCATTCCTGAATTTGTGATCAATGGACTCAAGTTTAGGGAGAGGAGCACCTTTGGTCTACAACAATGGTTTGAATCCCAGTCTCTAATTACTTCTTTCCCAAATACTCTGGTAATCAAAGGGAAATATTTGGTGAGATGCAGCCATTTTGTTGGTTAGCAGGAGTTCAGACACAAGAAAATGTCATAGTGGTAGAATACAGTATCAACCTCAACAGCAAGCCCATCGCTGGAAGCTCCCAGACCATTGTGCCAATCAAGTGGAGGAGGCACTTTCGTTTAGAGAGGCTTATGTGAACCTTATATGAGAAACTTGCCAACCTGCCTGTTTGATGTTCTAGCCTTACTATTTCGAATACTTAGGTGCTATCTTTTAGAGACCCTAAAATAGCCAAGACATGACACCCAGTACAGAGGAATTCATAGGTAAGCATCATCAGATCCTGAGAAGTCAAGGCTCTTCCCTGTGTTTTGTGTCTGTGGAATTATAAGCATATATGAGGTCTGGGGGTGGTGCGTCATTGTGGGAGGCCTGTACACCTCAAAGGATTTATGAAATGGTATGCAAAATACATAATAAAGTTATGCTGATTGTGAAGGATCAATAATAGACTGGAAGCCTAAGGGATGGTTGTGCTTTAAAATTTATAGTCTACCTGAGGACAAAGTGGCTACATATCAAAGAAAGACAGTTTGTTATTTAATTTTAAATACTAGAAGAGTCCTTTGGAAGTATTTCTCCCAATTTCCAGGTATGGTTGTCTTTCTGCTTTGCCAAAAAGATTTGCCCTAAATGAGTATATTGTTTGGTTTGGAAATTCATGAGAAATCTTCATCTCCAAAAGCATTTCTCCTACCAACTTGCCATGTAGCTTGAAATTGCTCAATTCCTTTGACTCCATTTTTTTCTAGTTTTCTAGAGTGCTTTATTCCAAAACATATATTCATAGAAAATGCAAGTCAAACACATTTAGGTCATTGTCAGAAAACAGGACATGGGGATGGGACAAAAAGAGGGAGTCAGCAGGCACAGGAGAATAGACGGAGTTGAAGAGGGCATGGAAAAAGAAGATGGGAGAGGTATTGAGGGGAGGACGAGTGAAAAATAAACAGCTATGTTGCACCCCTGCCTTCTAATGCTCAAGTCAGGAGTGAGAAATTCACCTCATTAACACTTAGAGCTAAACCCTGCAAGAGATAATTTACAAGGCAATGCCCACTTGCCTAGAGGAATAAATAGGAATCCAGCATCTTTTATCTTCCCTTTCACATTTGATTCAGGTTTAAAAAATAATAATAATAATTGAGCATCTGCTAGTTTCAATTATGTCATGGATATGAATAAAACAGTTCCTGCCATCAAAGAGCTAGCAGTCAAGGGAGAGAGACAAAGAGAGAGAGGATAAATGAATGAATGAACTTTCTGTGTTGATTACAAAATAATTAATAGGAGGACATTTCGGCACATATTTTAATTCATATTTTTCTGTACATTTTAGAGATGTTTGGGGATATTAACCTCACTCTTGGCATGCTGAACAAGGAAGATATTGTTAACAAGGTAGGGAACGTAGAAAAACTCTTTTTTCCTTTTTCAGTCTTGTTGTTGCAACGTTTTGTATATATTTTTCTTTGCCTCAACTTTCTCATTTTTCTCTGGCGTGTCACATGGCATTCAATTTTTCAGTAAACGCGGTTGTAATGAAAGTCATTCTAATGTTTAAGCAATGATATTTAGCATTTCAAGAATCACAGTATCTATGTCTAGAAAATAGCAAAAAAAAAAAGTTCCTTTTTATAACTTTATATAGGCAGATGTTGAAAGGTGTATGTTAGATTACAAACATGTGGATGAGACTGTTTCCTTTATAATTTGAGGGTTCTTACAAAAATCCCTAAAGCTCTTCCCTGCTCATCTATAATGCTATTTCACAGCTAGAAGTTTACCTAAGAATTGAAGACTTTTCACATTTCAACAACCTTCTGTAAAATAAAAGAAATAACTGCCCTTCATCGAACACTTACCTGGAAAGGAAAATGCTAGATATTTTCCAAACAACAGTGTATTGTATAATATTCACTCCCCAGAACAATTTCATCAGGTAGGTATTGCTATTTCCATTTGATAACTGAGAAAAAGTTAGGCACAGAGAAGTTACACGACTTGCTCAACTAAGAACAGAGGACTATATCCAAAAGCAAACAAATGTTCCTAATCGTTATTCAGTGTTGTCTCCTTGTGAAGGGCAGTGCCTATACCTTTGTCTCTTAATTCAGTGGTTCTCAACCCTGACCACGTACTACAATCCTTTAGAGAGTTTTGAGAAAATATCAACACCCAGGCCCTACCACCAGGGATTCTTATTGGATCAGTCTGTGAAAATCTTGAGCATTTAAAGCTCCTGGAGGTGATCCAAATATTTAGGTATGGTTGAAAACCATTACATTAATCTCTCAGTAGAAGTCACCTTTCCCAAAGAGCACTCTTTCTCAAACATTGGGAATCACTTGGAGAATAACCTCCTGATCCCAGAAGCACTGAAGGAGAATTTCCAGTAAAGGGATCAGAGAATATATGTTTTTAAGAAGCACTTCCTATTTATTTTATAGTGAGTCTAGTTAAAGAATAATAATAGCCAGCATAACCAAGAGGTTAAGGTGCCAGCTAAAATTCAGTCTGTTGGTTTCAAATTGTTTGTACGTAATACTAACTACATTAAGCTCCCTCAAACTCAATTTCCTCACCTGTAAAATGAATATATTTGTGGTACCTAACACAGGGACTTGTGAGTATTAATAAAATGCTCCAGATAATGAGTCTGGCACCGTTTCAGGAATGTGGTGAGAGCTCCATAAATGTTAGCCTTGCCAAAGAACAAGGCCTGCAGACAGAAGAGTAAGCACATGGAGCAAGAAAAAGACTCACAGAGATAGTTAGGCAGGCCCAGAAAATACAAGGAAGAAAGCAAAGAAAAATTATGCATTATTCTCAAACTTCCCAAGGACCAGCCCTGAGGAGTAATGCAAAGGATGCTATTTAACAACTTAAGCATGGGTTCAGTGGCTGGAGGTACATGTTGAAGCTGTTGGAGATTTCAGAACACCAGTCTCTTGTCTTCCAGAGGACACATAGCCACCTAAAAGATTTACAAGAGCCCTGACAAAGGGCATCGAGTCAAGCCACACAACCGGAGGCCCTGTCTAAAAGGTTGTCCACAACTTTCTGTCTGCAGAGGCATGAATGAAACAAGGACCTGTAAATGTCCCTTAGGATCCAGTTTCATAGTTTAGCAGCCTCTTGGGGAGTTACAGTGTGTTCCCTAGTACCATATCACTCCCTGGTAGTAAGGGCAGCAATTAGGCTGACAGGCATTTCCATTCCCCTGAGTGTCCCACAACAGTGATTTTCAAAAGACATGGAATGGCAGGTAGCCTATCCTGGTCTTCAATCAGATCTTGCCATAGAAATGTAGCCAAGCTAAAATAGTTTCTAGAATTAACTTTGCTCTGTAGCCTTTGACTCCTAAAGATGCACATTATGTTCAGAAAGCCTCAATTAAGGCCAGGCACGGTGGCTCATGCCTGTAATCCCAGCACTTTGGGAGGCCAAGACAAGTGGATCACCTGAGGTCAGGAGTTCAAGACCAGCCTAGCCAACATGGCAAAATCCCATCTCTACTAAAAATACAAAAATTAGTTGGACATGGTGGCACACACCTGTAGTCCTGGCTACTCAGGAGGCTGAGGCAGGAGAATCACTTGAACCCAGGAGGCGGAGGTTACAGTGAGCTGAGAACATGCCATTGCACTCTGACCTGGCCAAAATGAGTGAAACTCCACCTTTAAAAAAAAAAAAAAAGAAAGTCTTAATTAAGGCATATAATGTGAAATTCATTGTGTAGTAAAGATAAATTGCTTACTTTAATGGTGTTATTCATTAGGACTTCATTTGGTTCTTTAGTTTTGCAATCCAAATTTCTATGTATGCCTTTGTATGTTCACAGGAAGACATTTACAGTCATCTCACTTCTGTTATTCAGAATACTGACATCTTGGATGATGCAATTGTCCAACAGTTGATTTATTATGCTTCTAAGGACATGAGAGACAACAATGTAAGTTTGGTTCATGATGGTGAAAAGGGTCTTTAAGTGATCCAGCTGCACCCATGTGGACATCAATAAGCTGTTCTACACTGTTGCCAGGACCACAAATCACTTGTATTTGTTCTTTGCGGTAACTTGGATATCCTTATAATGCCTGATATTTACTCCTTCACAGATGAGGAAACTGAGGCAAAGATAAGAATTATTTTAGAGGTGATATAATCCAACCTCCTTTTAGAAGAGGAAGTTCACAATTAGAGATATATTTTTTTCAAAGGAACATAGCTGTCTATTGACAGAACTAGAAACCAATTTTCTTGGCTTCTTTATGATTTATTTTTTATGTACCTACTTATCTTAGATTGTCTGATAGACAAGATAGCAAAAAATAATAATTTGTAGAAATAATTTGAATCCTAGGATGATGTTATCTCTTCCAGAAAGAAGAATTACTTATTCCCACCAATGGCACTAACAATTTATGATTGCTTTCAGGGCTTGAGATTTCTGGGTCACTTCTATAACTCAAAATTGGATTGCTATTCATGAGAACACCAATTTAACCTTTCATCTGAGCACAGCCCTTTGGTGTCTTAGTTCAAAAGACAAGAGGTGGGATGAGCAGAGTCTCACCACTGGTTGGCCCTGAACTCTGACTATTGCTTCAAAATGCAACAAAACAGTCTCAAATGCAGGGCTTATCTCTCTAGATCAATAATCATTTCCAGGCCTCAACTCAGTAATTCGTTCCAACCTATATTGTGAGTTTGCTGATGGCTTTATGAGTATATATTTTTATATCTTATCTGGGTCTCTTTTATTTTCCTCAGGAGGAGGAGTTGATCAAATTTACCTAGTTCACCATCACCAAAATCAGAAGTCTTTCCCAGTACCATCAATATTGGAGATAATTAGGCCAGATTAACATTGAAACCAAAGCTCTCAATTCCTAGCTCATTTCCTTTCACTTTTCCTTTCAGTTTTTCAACCACAGTAATTTGCATCACTTAAACATAAAATATAAGTCCTGTGTTCATGGTACCAGATCAATCAGCAAGAAAACAGCTACTGACCTCCAAGTTTACTAGAACTGTGTTAAAACCAGCATTTTCAACGTATTCAAATTACCTCTGCTTTCCCGGCTACTGAAACCTACCAAGCGTTTCTCACTATGGTTTTGTAACAGCCTGTTCTCCCTTCGTCCCAACGCTAGAGTAGCTTATAAATAGTATGGCTGGATAGTAGAGAACGGGCTGCTAGAAAACCATGGTGAAAGATTCTTGGTAGGTGTCAGTTGCTGGGAAAGCAGAGGTAACTTGATTGCACTTTAAAAAACTAGTTTTAATAGTGTTCTTGCAGATTTGGGGGTCAGTAGACGTTTTCACAGACTCCAAAAGAAGGGAAGGTGGGAGGAATGGTGAGGGTCCACTAGAAGCCCAAATCTCACCATTACACAGTTGAACCATGTGGCCAACCGGCACATGTACCCCGTGAATCTGTAATTTTAAAAATAAATAAATAAATACATAAATATTATGCTGACTAGTTCCCCTCCATAGACTCACTCTACCCCTTTTTTAGTTGTTATTGTTATTTTTCTTTTCCTCTTCAGATGCTCAGAGAAATCAGAATGCTAGCTGGTGAGGTTTTGGTGTCTCTTGCTGCACATGATTTCAACTCTGTGATGTATGAAGTACAAAGTAACTTCAGGATCTTAGAGCTACCAAATGAATTCGTTGTGCTTGCCCTGGCTGAATTGGCAACCAGCTATGGTATAGTGGGAATATTCTCCATGATTTCCCTGGGAAATGACAACTGCTAATTGTCTAAAAGCTAAATGGGAGCAAATGGTAGAAGAGCTAGCATCTCTACCTTCTTCTGTACCAAGAAATATTGATAGAGGGATATGGGCAGCTATTTAAAATGAGCATGGATGATTCTGCTGCCCAGCCACTAGTCTAGACTGCTCTGAATTTGGCCACTCTCCCATCCTCACCTTCCCCTTCATCCAGCTTTGCATTTGTAGAAGCACATTTTCTGTAAGGTATATTCTACTAACCACTGAACACTTTCGTGAAATAGGGATCCCTATCATTTATTTCTACACTACTGTATTTAACAGATATTTAGGAATCATCTGTTATATATATTTACATATACTTTGGGGATACAGGGAAGATCTGGTGTGAGAGATTGACATTAATAAATTAGTTATCCAACTAAGCAATTGCTGGCAGCATTGATGGTATAGTGGTGAGAATAGCTGCCTTCCAAATAAGCAACTGCCACTTAACAACAGGCACAAATGGCTGTGTAGCTAGAACCTTATTTTCAATCAGCCCCTCCTTGATTATCTAACTATAGCCTGGTATTAAAGTGGGGCAGAGATGGGGGAATTATAGAAACATCTTTCTACTACACCTCATCTGCCTCCTCCATGCAGCCCTGAAATGCTTCTTGTTGATTTGGAGTCACAGAACCCCGAATTTGAGAAGACAAATAACACCTCTCTCCTTTCTGCCCCTCACTGCAGTGTCCCAGAGTATTCCCTTCATGATGATGACCCTGCTCACCATGCAAACCATGCTCAGGCTAGCCGAGGATGAAAGGATGAAGGGGACTTTCTGTATTGGTGGGTATCCCGATGATTTCCTTTTTGCTTAAAACCAGACTGTGAACTGTCTTACAAATTAAGCAAAAGTCTTGTTTTCCCTTTAATTCCAATCTTGTCCTTTTGAATAATAATAGCTACCACTTTTTGAGTGCCTACCACATGGAAAGTCCTCAGCAGGGGAGTTATCTCATTCAATCATCACAGCAATTCTGCAAGATAAGTACTATTTTCCCATTGTATAGAGGAGACACTGAGGTTCAAGGAAAGTAAGGAATTTTCCCAAAATGATGACACAGTCAATGAGATACAGAGGTGGCATTCAAACCCAGGTCTATGGGACCACCCAGTCTACACTCTTCACTGCCCCGTACAAACTTCCATTTCAACTGACCTCCTTCTCTAATTGGAGGATACTTTCTTGGCAATGATTGTCAGCACTTACCAGTTCTTAGCATAGGTTAAATTTTGGCATCTGATTATAATGCAATATTGTAATAATGATAACAAAACAAAGTATCCAAACTACAAGCAATCATAAAATCAAGAAAAACAGGCAAGCAAACTATGGTCACAAACTCCTCTGTCTAAAACTGAAATACGTCACAGAAATCAAGAGCCTACAGAGAAAAACGTGCCTTGGAATTCCTAGGAAGTAGTGTTTACAGTGTACAGGGAGGTTTCTTGGATGAGACTGGAGACCTGGTCTCTTGACTCTGCTCAGCCACTGAGCCACCAAGTGACCCTGCCCTTCTCTCAGTCCCGGTTTCAACTCTAAAAACATCAGAATAAGTGATTGCTACGTTCCCTTCCACTTCCAACATACCCTAACACTACTATTTTGTAATTTAAAAGCCCACACTGTGAGGAATGTCTTCTTTACTTATTAACAAAGGCTCTTCTATTCCATCTTTCCCATTTCTTCTTGTTCTGTCATCAAAGTAATATTTTTATCTCATATATATTGAGAACTTGCTGTGTGCCTGGGCACTGCCCTGGGTATTTTAAGATGACTATTTCATGCAGAGCACGGTGGCTCACGTCTGTAATCCCAGCACTTTGGGAGGCCGAGGTGGGCGGATCACAAGGTCGGGAGATGAGACCATCCTGGCTAACATGGCGAAACCCCATCTCTACTAAAAATACAAAAAATTAGTCAGGCATGGTGGCAGGCACCTGTAGTCCCAGCTACTCAGGAGGCTGAGGCAGGAGAATAGCGTGAACCCGGGAGGCGGAGCTTGCAGTGAGCCTTGATCGCGCCACTGCACTCCAGCCTGGGCGACAGAGCGAGACTGTCTCAAAAATAAAAATAAAAATAAAAAATAAAAATGAAAATATTACTATTTCATTTAACTGTCACAGCAACCACATTAGATGGGTAGCATGTTTTTCACCATTTTACAAGTGAGAACATTGGACTTAGAAAGTTTCAAACAGCTTGCCTCAGGTCACACAGCCAGTACATGGCAGAGCTAAGACTGTCAACTATGACAGTCTGACTCAAGGACCTGTGCAACTATACTAGACTAACCTGCTTTCAATATTTTTTACTATTCCTACTTATTATCATAGCTAACACTGTGTTCCTGCAAAAAAAAACTTTGGAGCCTCTAACAGCATTTCTACATTTAATATTAACAACCAAGAATGTAAAATTAAATAAAACTGGAAATCCTCATGAACATTACTAAGGGAATTCTCTGTGTTATAAAATTATCTAAGTGCCCTTTGGTCTTAAAGCAACTTTTTGCCTGACTGCAACTACAGAAAAGGTATAAAAAATAACTATCCATCCAGCCAGCCATTCAGCCATCCATTCATTCATACCCAGTCATTTGATCAATCAGCAAATTAGCAGACATTGTGCTGGCTGCTTCACATACCATGAACCAGCAAGACATCATCCCTTACTTCAGGTTGCTTACAAGTCAGTTAGAAACACACACACACATGCACACATACACCAAGAAATAAATTATTAGAAAGTATAGCAGGAGATTCTCAAAGAAATTATAGGGAGTTTGGAGAGACCATGAATGAGCCAATAAATGGCCAGCTCTACTGCTATAACATGCTCAGGGTCTTTTCCAGGGTATTTTGTGAATGTGAGCAAAATAAGTAGCACACAAGGGCTGAAGAAAATAATATTATTATTTTATGCATTTCATGCCAATATATGTGAATTCATTGCCCAAATGGTATTTTGGCAGGCTTAGATTTCTTTTTAATTTTATTGAAGTAAAAGACAGACACAGAAGAGCACGCAAATCAGAAGTGTACATGTTGATGAGTTATTTCAAAGTGAAGTTGCCCATGTGGCCACCACTTAGGTCAAGAAGTGGGAGATTGTCAGAGCCCAGAAGCCCCCTCATGTTACCTTCAAAGGGTAACCACAGTCCTAACTTCAAACACCATTAGCTTTGCCTGTTTGTAAGATTCATCCATGTTGTTCTGTGGAGCTATCACCCATTTTTATTTCTGTATTCTTTTACATGTCTATAGAATGCAATAGAATTCTACCTATTAGCAGATATTTATACTATATTCTGTTTGGGGCTATTACCAAAACGAAAAGCTAATATGAATGGATTCTTGTACAGACTTTTAGTGCTCATATCTACACATATCTAATGGCTATATACATAAGACTGGAATGGTTGGGTCAAATAGAATGCATATTCAACTTTGTTAGATAGTGCCAAAGAGTCCTGCCAAATGCTTGAGCGACAGCAGTATGTGAGAATAGCAACTGCACCTAAGTCTACACTTGGCATTGACAGTCTTTAATTTTAGACATTCTGGATAGTAGTGTCTTATTATGCTTTTAATTCGCATTTCACTATTGTGGCTGAGTACTTTCTAGATGTGTATTTGATGCAGTCGTAAGATCATATAAAAACCATTACATATTTACTAATCATCAGCACTCTCTTCTCAAATTATTTTATCGTCTGTCCCATTTTTATATTTTTCTCAGTCTGTGGTTGTGTGTTTTAAATGCAGCCCTTGAGAAATTCAGCAAAGCCATTTACAAATATGTCAACCACTGGAGAGATTTTCCCTACCCGAGACTGGATGCCAACCGACTGTCTGACAAGATCTTCATGCTGTTCCGGTATATAATGGAGAAGTGGGCTCCTTCGGCCTCACCCATGCAGGTGAGTGGGCCTCAGGATGCCTCAAGCTGGATGTCCCTACATGCTGGTTGAAATTTCTCTTCTGTTTGTAACCTGATAATTATAGTCAGTATTTTTGGAAGCCATTGATTGTATTTTATGAGATTCATCCATTTTTTTCTTTTTTTCTCCACCTATTTCAAATCACCATTTATTTATTCTTTCAGTTAATGTTTATTGAATCCCCGTGACATGCCAGACACTGTTCCAGATGCTGAGGTTATAGCAGGAATTAAAGAAACCAAAATCCCACACTCATGAAACTGACATTTCAGTATGTGGAAAAAAGAACAATCAATAAGATAAAATGAGTAAAGAAAACCCAAAAAGTTAGATATTTCACGTTTTATATATTAAAACTCATATTTGAGCTGAATCACTAATTAGGAAAAATAACAGTTCACAGATGCTTCTTGTGTCTAAGAATATCATGATTAAATAAAATAACATCTAAAGAATATACTTGGCTGCTTCAAAATACTGCAGTGCCTTGTCCTTGTAAAGAATAGATTACAAAGTACATTCACACATATCTTGCTTTAAAAGTGTCTTCCTTTTATCTTGCTTAACTGCTATAGTTTTTTTAAGAAGGCTAAATGATATCCTATTTAGGTCTCTTCATTGCTTTATTATAAAAAGTTTAACACTTAGCAACTTTCTCTAGTTTCTTTTCTACACTTTAAACTATTAAAGCATTTATTTTTTTAACATCCTGAGGTAGTTAAATCATTAGCAACATGGAACTTCAAAAATATTCTGTAGGGAAGTGTTTTCTTCAAGGCACCTGGAAAACAAATTCAATGCACCTGTTTAACAACTACTCTCCTTGCTCCCCACAGGAAGAGCCAGGCAAGTGCACAGAAGGTACACAAAGTGAGAAGGATGCACAGAGAGGGAAGCACTTAACTGCCCTGGTGAGCTGCAGCATTGGAATTGATCCTTGTAGCCCATGAAGCTGCTCACCACAGCGAAGATGCATTCCCTACAGAGGGACTAAAACTTACTGAGGCAGAGGTTGAAAATGGGGTAGCATGCACACCTGAGTTAGTGTGATGGGAGACAGGGAAGGGAAGAGAGAAAAAAAGATATAAGGCAGAAAGAAATGAAACCAAAAAGATGGTCTTAGTCATATAATGAAGAGCCTTAGCTGCTACATACATGTTTGGACTTTTTTTTAATAAACAAGAAATGCTTGAAAGGTTTTAAGCAAGGATTTGAGTGCTGTAGTAGAAAAATCATTCTAATATCAACATTAAAAATAGAGGGGTATGGGGTGGACTAAGATAAGACTATTGGCTAGGAGGCTATAGAAATATTCCAGCTCATAAGTGGTAAAGAGATCAATTAACATAGTGTTCGTGGAACTGATCAGAGTGTCAGATGCTGAAGAATAGAATGACCAGGACTTGGCATCATTTGGAAGCTTATTACAACGGAAACACCTGGGATGGTTTCCTAGGTTTCTAACTCAGGTGATCTTGGGATCACCAATTTAAACGAGGAGGAATTACAAATATGGAACAGTACAAAATGGGTTTGATGTAGACATTTTGATTTGAACACCTATGGTACTGTCGAGTGGAGATATTAGTAGGTTTGAGGATATTCACATTTGGAGTTTAAAAAGAAAAGCAAAAACTGGACATACAGATTTGAGTATCATCATTGCATAAGTAACAACCAAATAAGTGGATTTAGATGGAGTTGTTTAAAGCGAGTGTATAGAGTGGGAAAGTGGCAAAAATAGAGTTCTGGAGGGCATCAATGTTAAGGGGAAAGCAAGGGAGAAGAACTCATGATGGAGAATAGGGAATGTGCTAAGAGTGTAGGAAAGTGAAGTAGAATGAGATCTTAGAAGCTTAGAAAGGAGAAGTTTTCAAGAAGCAAAGATCTAGTCCTGAGTGTTACAGCACTCAAGAAAAATTTTGACAAGTGTCCATTGCTTGGAAATGTATGGTGAAAGAACCAGCCAGCTAATACATAGTCTTTAATGAAATAAATGATAGTTGCCATTAGCCATTAAGTTTTGAGATGATTTGTTGTAAAATGTAGCTGATACAAAAAATTGTCAAACATTGGATAGAAAAGGCAGAATATAGAACTCTATAAGAATGATGTCATCTTTAATAAATTAAAATTCACAAAAAACATAGGAAAGAATAAGTCAAATAAATAAAAAAATATACTAAAATATACCAGTGTTTATCCATGGGTACTGTGTATTACGTTTTCTTCATCATAACATTTGTGATTTCTACATTTTTATAATCAGAATTTATCACATTTATATTTCATAATCTGGAAGTTATTGATTTTCTACACTGAATGGCAGCAAGATTCTAGTGGATTGGGAGGTGAATGGGAGCTGAGAAGTAGAAATAGCAAATAAAGACCATACCTTGGAAACCCTTTGCTCCAAGGGCAGGAAAGAGAAACAGAGTCAGGTGGGGGTAATAGTTGGGGTCAAAGTGAGGTGGAATCAATGAAGATTCTTTTTTTTTTTTTTTTTTTTTTTTTTGAGATGGAGTCTCACTCTGTCAACCAGGCTGGAGTACAGCGGCTCCATCTCCACTCACTGCAAGCTCCACCTCCCAGGTTCAAGTGATTCTTCTGCCTCAGCCTCCCAAGTAGCTGGGATTACAGGTACCCACCACCACGCCCAGCTACTTTTTGTATTTTTAGTAGAGATGGGGGTTTCACCATGTTGGTCAGGCTGGTCTCGATTTCCTGACCTCAGGCAATCTGCCTGCCTCAACCTCCCAAAGTGCTTACATTACAGGCATGAGCCACCACAACAGCTTGAAGATTCTTTAAGATGAAGTAAGTTCTATTGCTTAATACACTGAAAGAAAGTCTATTAGAGAGAGGTTTAAAAAATAGAAAAGCTCTGTTTCAATAAAATAAAATAAATAAAATAAAATAAAAATAAAATAAAAATACAACCTGGTATTACAAAAATTAGCCAGGCATGTTGGTGGGCGCCTATAATCCCAGCTACCCAGGAAGTTGAGGTGGGGAGAATTGCTTGAACCTGGGAGGCGGAGGTTGCAGTGAGCTCAGATCGTGCCACTGCACTCCAGCCTAGGCAACAAAGTGAGACTCTGTTTCAAAAAAAATACAATAAAATAAAAAATAGGAGAGAAGGGCAAGTATTGAAATGAGTATCAGTATAAATACAGATGTAAATACAAATACAGCTCTGTCCCATGCAATGACCTTAATCTGAACATTTTTAAAAGATTTTAAAGAATTTAGAGAACTATTTCTTGACTGAAAGCAGCAAGGAAAGTTTTGGGGAGTACCTAAAGCTCTTGGTGTTCTGAAAACCTATGAAAAACCCAAGGAAGTTTCAGAAATGGTATTTGTTTGCTGCCTGTACAGACTTTGAGCATCATTAAGGCCCACGGGCCCACGGTGAGCTTGCTGCTGCATCGGGAAGACTTCTGCGGATATGCTCTGGGCCAGGTGCCCTGGCTCCTGAGCCAGTATAAAGACAAAGAGATTGATTTCCATGTCACTCAGGTAAGAGTCATACCCTAAAGGAACTGAATCAGAGAACCCGCATGCAACCCTCCCGGAGGCTAGTAAGTCTCAAAAGAGCCGAAGGAGCCTAAACTCCTGTTTGGGCAGCTGAATTTAAGTATCTCTCGAGGAATATGAGGTAGGAAAAAGATTGTATCACTGGATGAAGGGAACTTCAGAAAGGGATTAAGAATGTTCATTCTGGGCCTGGCTCAGTGGCTCACAACTGTAATCTCAGCACTTTGGGAGGCAGAGGCGGGTGAATCACTTGAGGTCAGGAGTTTGAGACCAGACTGGCCATAATGATGAAACCCCATCTCTACTAAAAATGCAAAAATTAGCTGGGCGTGGTGGTGCATGCCCATAGAGTACCAGCTACTTGGGAGGCTGAGGCAGGAGAATCGCTTGAACCCGGGAGGCGGAGGTTGCAGTGAGCCGAGATCGTGCCATTGCACTCCAGCCTGGGTGACAGAACAAGGCTCCGTCTCAAAAAAAAAATAAAAGAGGATGTTCATTCCAAGTTGCTGAGGCACTGAACAGGGTAGAAGGGGCCAGAATCATTCAAGAAAACTTGTAACTGCAGGAAGATGAGGAGCTTGTTTTTCTCTCAGAACACAATTATTTGCCTTCCACATCCTGTGCAGCTGCTTTCCTGGCAGCCTCCAACTAACCTGTGGGAGTTTCCACTTTAGAGTCTAAAACAAATACTGACTGCAGCAGTTCTTTATGACATTGGCCTGCCAAGGAGTTTGAGAAGATCCATCTTTATCAATTTACTGCAGCAGGTAAGAAGACCATGCTGTCAACTCCGATTTTTAATTCAACCTGTTTTCTGTTTTTAACATCTACCACCTGATTTCCACCCCCATTCAGATCTGCAGAGCTCCAGAGCCTCCAGTAAAGGAAAATGAAATGGAAGCTTCAAGCTGTTTTCTCATTCTAGGTAGGACCAGCATCCAGAAGGCTTTTAATAAAAATGTCCCCAAGTGATGATGATGACAATGGTAAAAGGAAGGCAAACCGTCACATTAACTTACTTTCACACACACAAACACACACACACAGTTTCTTTAACTCACAGTTTTCTGTGCCTGCCCCTCTCCCCACAAGTTCCCAGGAGGAGCAGGACAGGAAGAATGGCCAAGGATGCCAGGGTTCCCACGACTGGGATAGGTCCAGGGAGATAAAATTTTCAGTTCTCAAACCAAGGAAGTCCCAGAAAAACTGGAATGAGTTGACAACCCTAAAAATAGGAAATTTCTTTCTCTTTCTTTCTTTCTTTCTTTCTTTCTTTCTTTCTTTCTTTCTTTCTTTCCTTCTTTCTTTCTTTCTTTTTTTCTTTCTTTCTTTCTTTCTTTCTTTTTTTTTCTTTCTTTCTTTCTTTCTTTCTTTTTTCTTTCTTTTTTTTTTTTTGATATTTGAGATTATTTGAGTCTGTGTCAAATCCAAAGTCACCCTTTTTTCTTCCTGGTTATCTCTTAATGTCTACATCTCTTTAACCATCAGTCACTCTGTCTCTCTCTCTCTCTCTCTCTCTGTCCTCCACTCTATCCTTCTTTATCTTGACCTTACGTTATATCACCTGATTAGAAGGCCTGACATGGGATGCACGGGGGGCACCAAAATCCCAGGGTCAGAATACAAAACTATGCTCCCATACAGTTCCTGAGGAGGAGGGATAGCAGCAATCCAATACCTCTTGAACCTCCTCACTCCCCCAAATACTACATCACTTCTACCTCCTTGCATATCTTTCTGTCATGTGTATGCATACCTTTCTACTTCTCTCCTGACTGGCCCCTTTGTCGTTATACTTTCTTCTTCTCCCCAGTCCCTGCCTAACTAATTCACCTTACCCGTGATACTTTCTAGAATAAACCACTGTCCTCGAGCCAGGCCTTTTTTCACCCCTCCCTGCTTCAACGCCTGCAGCTCTCACAGCTGGGGAAGCATCACTGCCATCTCTTCCTCCATCTTCATATGGTGTTCTCACTGTGCCCCATGTCTCTTCTCCTTTTCCTATAAGGACACCAGTCATATTAAATTCAGGCCCACTCTAATAACCTTCTTAACCTCATTATATCTGCAAAGACCCTCATTTTTAAATAAGGCCACATTCACGGATATGAACAGAAATGGCCTAGGCATAGCAAGCTCTCTTAGGAACCAAACTGCTTGATTAATTCTGTGACACTGAAGAAGCATGGACATAATAAAATCAAATTACCAACTGAAGAGTGCCTTGGATAATCTTCATGGTGAATTTCCTTCCTCCCATTCACAAGTATTTTACCAAAGATGAAAATGAGTTCTTACAGCCCTAGTGTTTCTTGAACCTGCAGCCCATTCCAATCCTGGAGAGCTGATGGAATTTTTTGATGAACAAATAAGAAGTAATAATGAAGCCATTCGAATGGGAATCTTGACTTTGTTAAGATCGGCTATCAATGCTGAGGGTAAGCAAGAGGGTCGAAACCAACGTGGTTTATTTCATGCCAAGAAGCAGACTGAAGCCTATGCACTCTTTAATCCTATTCTACATCTTTTGGATGCTTATATAACATCATGTGCAAATGAAACTCTGTCTTCTCAATCTTCCACAATCTATAATTCCTTTCAACAGGCATCTTTAGTTACTTCACTTCTTTCATAACATTTATGGATGCACCCAGTTGAGAAGAATGAGCAGAATTTTTGAGAATTAAAGTTAGAATTTAGAAGCTCTTGTAGGTTGGTTAAATGGTCCAATATCAAGGGGTGGGTGGGAGAGAGTGTACAATTCTCTAGAGATTGATACGGTTACAAAAAAGCAGAATTTAATGAATTGCCATATTTTATTCCAGGAAGCACATATTTTCATAACATCGAATGCATCTTACAATTGAATGCATCTTTAATTATAATTAGCCACTATTTTTTGGTGCAATATGAAATAATGGTACATCATAAAATTGGTGATATCTTAGACTTGCTAAAATACAAAAATTAGTTTTTGCATAGTATGATATAGTTTTTTAACATTCAGTTAGCACTTTGATTTACTGAAGAATCAGCAGATGAATATGAAGCAGTCTCACAATATTTAGATCTGATCTACCAGGAATGATATATTGAAACCACTATAGAACCTAACATTTTAAACAAAATGAAACAAATTTAATAAGGAACAAAGAAAGCACTGGACATCATTAAAGATTTGGAAACAAAGAGGATGGGAGGGAATTGAAAAAAAATAAGTTGTTAAACACAAGAGACTTCGCAATTATGTGCCATAATTCGAATAGCTTTTCGTCAATCCTAGCACATACTGTGCTTCTGTTGAGTCAGGCTTCTCAGTTTCTCCCTCTGTCTTTCAGAGCCCAGGTTGAGGGATCACATCATTTCAATAGAAAGAACAGTCAAAATCGTCATGGGTGATCTCAATACAAAAGTAAGAGAATTAATAGAAACTTTTGTCGATGGTAGCTTTAAGAATAAATGAAATTATTTTGATTCTTTAATGACCTACTTATGAGACTATTTTATAAAGAACTCTGTGGTCAATTCCATTTTTAAAAGAACTCCATCTTTTCCAAAAAGATAAACTTCATCAAGGTAGAGGCCTAAAGTACACACAGCTAAAGGACATCTCAGTGAAAGGAAGATTTTTGCTTATTTAAAATAATTATAGGACATCAGTGGATTAACACATGAGTAGAATAAGAGCAAAGAGACTGTATCTCACTATGCCAATGTACTTCAGATAGTTTAAAACTTACTTGTTAATTATAAAGATAATGTATCTTCATTCAGGAAATAATAATCCCTAAACCTTGTTCTTAGCATAGACATCCTACTTTCCAACCAGGCACCACCTAGAGCAAGTAATGCACGTAGTGGATTGCTCAATATTTCTGATTATTTGATTAAAGTGTTCTAAGGCACAGTGACTCACGCCCGCAATCCCAGTGCTTTGGGAGGCTGAGGTAGGTGGATCATTTGAGGTCAAGAGTTCGAGACCAGCCTGGTCAATGTGGTGAAACCCCATCTCTACTAAAAATACAAAAATTAGCCAGGTGTGGTGGCTCACGCCTGTAATCCCAACTACTCATGAGGCTGAGGCACAAGAATCACTTGAGCCCGGGAGGTGGAGGTTGCAGTGAGCCCAGATTGCACCACTGCACTCCAGCCTGGGCAACAGAGTAAGACTCTCTCTTTAAAAAAAAAAAAAAAAAAAAAGGGGGGGGGATTCTATGTTAGAAGTTATAGAACTTATACTGGGAAAACAAGAAACATTATCAATTATTACATTTTTGTAAGAATACCACATTTTGTTTGGAATAAAATGCTAGACAGAAGCCAATTAAGAGGAATAAATTCTTTTAAGAAATTTTGACTGCCAGTGACTACGTTTAAAAGAGTAAAAGCTTTGCAATAAAAAGCAATAGAGTGATTATACAAAAAAAAACTGGCCTAGTAACTGACAAAAGACAAAAGAAGAATTACGAGAAGAGTTTAGGATAGCATAAAGAGCACAGATCTTCGAGGAAGGCCAACTCCCCAGGCAAAAATAGAGAAAAGGTGTACCTCTTCTCTAGGTAGACTACTCAGAGTCTTTATGCTAATTGTTTTGACCACCATATAACTCTGCTTCCCTGTTCAAAATGGTTTTTTTCTTCCCACTCTCTTTTCAAAGGCCTGTTCACTAAGGGATTGGTTCTCAGGTTTCTATTCACCAGAGAAGCAACATAATAAATTAAAACCAAATTATTATAAATACTATAATACAAGTTCATAAAACTTCACTCTAATTTCTGGGGCCAGATATATTTCAGAATTGACAATTTTTCAGCTTTTAGAAAAACATTTCTCTGATAGTAACCCACAATCGAAATCCATGAATATTTCTGCAAGAAAATTAATGCATATCCACACAGCATAGAATAAGATTACAAATAGCTTTAAAACAGTTCAGTTTGGGTTTGCCACAAAATGAGTTGGCACTAAACTTAAGAAACAAAATTCCACTTTTCATAGTTGTTTGACTTTGAAATTGCGAATAAGCAGGTGTGGACCTGTAGTTCAATATGTTATCTTTCGTTAAGTATTTTAAAAGCGAAGCAGTGTTTTAGCCCAAAGTTACCCAACAATTCATAATCTATAGTGATAGACACTATGTCTTTGGGAACCAAGGAGAAAGATTTTGCCTAAAGAGAGCATTTCTGGTGACTCTTTCATAACCTATCAGTCACTTTCTGCAGGTTGAGCATCCCTAATCCGAAGGAAATCTGAAATGCTTCCAAATTCAAAGCTTTTTGAGCCAACATGACACTCAAAGGTCATGCTCAAAGAAAATGTTCATTATAGCATTTCGGAATTTGGATTTTCAGATTAGGAATGCTCAACCAGTAAGTATAATGCAAACATTTCAAAATTTGAAAAAAATTCCAAAATTTTAACACTTCTGATCCCAAGCATTTTGGATAAGGATTATTCAACCTGTATTAACATTATTCAATTTATATTCCATTTTCAAAAATGTTCCCACTTAATTATCCTTAAGATTATAGAAAAAAGGAAGGTAAATTTCCCTTCTGCAAAACATAGTAAAATGTTGCTATTGCGTTGTTCTTACCCTAGGTGAGAAATTCTGTTCTTCTCCTCATCCAAACCATGTGTGAAAAGTCCTATATTGAAGCTCGGGAAGGATGGCCATTGATTGATTATGTCTTCTCCCAGTCTGCAACGTTGAACAGCAATCTGGTATGCAGAGGCTACAGTTCTGAGTGATGCACTATAAAAAGTACAGTTCGCTCAACTATGTTTCTTTTTAAAAAACTGTTAGGGTCCTTAATCTGTCACAGGAGTAGAGTAAAAAAATAAATTGTAAAAAAATTAAAAATGACTAGAGTTCAATTAAATAAGTGATTTGGAAGTAATATTTTAATCTTGTCACTTTTGTTGATATTTTTTACAGCCTCTAGTTTTCTCAGTTCTTTTTTTTTTTTTTCTCTAAAATGACCTCTAACTTATAATAAGCACAAGATAGGTTAAATCAGTTTTCTCTAAGTTAACCTAGCCACCAAAAGCTTGGATTGGGATTGTCTGGAGAGGGGCACAGAAACTGGATTGCTTCAGAGAAAGCAAAAGAGATATCAATACTTGCTGCAATGATGTCTTAGTTCATTCAGGCTGCTATAGCAAAATACCATGGAGCAGTGAAGTAAGTTCTGTGAAGTGCATTTCTAAAACAGCATACTTCTGAAATCATAAACAAGTTTATTAGGGTTCTAACCCTTTGCTGTACACAAACAGAAATGTATCTGTTATATAAATGAGAAAAAGCTGTATGCTGATGGAGCAGGCTTTTAAAATCCTTCAGAAATACTCACCATATATAAAGGAAAATACCGTGAAATGATGGTTTATAAACAGAAAATATTTATTTCTCACAGTTCAAGATGCGGGGAAGTCCAAGACTGTCCAATGAGTGTCTCCTTCCTAACAGATGGTGCCTTCTCACTGTGGAAGGGAATAGCTAGCCCTCCAGGGTCTCCTTCATGAGGGCATGAATTCCAAACATGAGGGCCTTTCTCTTATGACCTAATCACCTTCCAAAGACCACACCTCCTAATACCATCACCTTGGACGTTCGGATTTCAACATATGAATTTTGGGAAAACACAAACACTCAGACCACAGCAACTGAGGTCAGCTTTCTTTGGATAAATTGACTGAAAAATATGTGCTTATGAGCTCTGTGATTTTAGCAAATTAGTTGCAACTGAAATCACAGTTCCCTCCACAAAGAAGCACGCTTTGAAAATTTTGCCCTGAAGAAAATGACAAAGGTCTGAGAAAGAGAGGGGATATCTGCAGTTAAAGGAGCCTCACAATTTCTGTTTCTCTCTTTTAGCAAGGGATGTGTTTCCCAACTAATTCCTGCAAGGAATTCTAGGTTTCTAGGTTCCATGAGCCACTTAAGTTGAGTGACTACATCCTTTACTCCAGAGTCTGAGAATGCACCCAAGGAAAGACAGAGGAGACTAACCTTAGGAGTCATTAACAAGTCACCTGTTTGATCTTTCTTAAAGGAGAAACCAGTGAAAACTAACTTTCATGAGAATGAAAAGGAAGAGGAATCTGTCCGAGAAACAAGCCTTGAGGTCTTAAAAACCCTGGACCCACTGGTCATTGGAATGCCTCAGGTAAGGGGTCTTTTGTCACCACTTACAGTTACTTTGATCACCTTCTTAAAGTCCAGCCTGTGTAAGAATAAAGGCATGAGTTTGTGCTCCATTTGTCATCAGCTTCCTGATGCTCTGACTAGAGGAGGTGTATTGCAATACTGTGTCCAGCACATAGTGCTTCCTCAAAACCAGATGTTGAATTAATTAAGATAATTAATATAAAGTATCTTACATCTGGATAGTTCATGACAATTTATATATATAATATTAGTATACGATTTCTCTTATTCCTCTAATGCATACGGTAATATTAAGTAGTGGTTTTAATGCAACCAATGCCAAACTTACCCTATTCCATCTGGGAAAGTGTTAAAAGCAGCCATTCTCAGGCCTCACTGGAGACCTGATTCATTTGAAACTCAAGGGGAAGAGCCTTGGAATCTGTAGTGCCCAGAAGTACATAGCACAATCAGAAGACAAGCAACAGACCACACTATTTAAGTAGTAGATCAGAGGCTTCATCTAGGATGATATGTGGTTCCTGAGTTATCTGAGATATTTACTTAAAATGAAGATTTCCAGGTCACATACCAGACCTACTGAATCAGCAAAACTGGACATAGAGACCAAAAGTCTACAATCAACTAAGTTCCAATATTTCTGATACATACTAAACTTTAAGACTTTTTGATATAGAAGTAAATGATGAAAAAAATAATCTAGGGTCAAACCCTAAAGGGCCTAGAATGCCAAACTTTTACCTTATGGTTGATAAACCAGTGAGAATTTTAAGCAAGAGCTAAACATTTAAAATGATAATTGTAGGGAATCAGTAGAATCACACATGAGTAGACTAAGAGCAAAGAGACTATATAGGAGATCAGATGCAACTTGTAGGAACTACAGCAATGTCATTACAATAGAAATGAGACATGGAAGGGCACAAGAGATCTTACAATGAAAAAAAGACTGAGTCTGGTGATTAAATATAGATGACAAAGAAGAGAGAAGAGTACAAGTTGACACCAAGGTTTCCATTAGCACAAGAGAGTTTTCTAAGGGATATAAAACATACTAAAGAAACACAATGTTTCAGACTTCCAGAGCAGGCAGGTCAGAGCCTGAAGCACAGAGGACAGTAGCAGCCCATTCACTATCCTCTCCCAAGCTTCTCACTGGGGCAGTCACACTCCAATCCTGGAGTTTTGGGAAGTACTTGGGAGATTTTTGGTTGTCACATTGACAAGAGGAATACTGGCACTTGGTGAGTGGGGCCCAGGGATGCTAGCATTCCCCTAGTGTCTGGAGCAGTCCCTCATGACAAAGAATTGTCCTGCCCCACATTCCAGCAACATCCCCATGGAGAAACACTGACCAACGCTCACTACGGCTAACACCTGAAAATGAATGTGCTATGCAGAGGCTTCATTTAATGATCTCATTTTGACTTGGCCCGAAAAGCAAAATAATAACAGGAGAAAAGCTTCTACATCAGAGAAAAATATGTAGTAAGGACCAGGGAGAAGTAATGGAAAAGAATAAGTAATCCTTGCGTCTTGCCCTATTTTCCACAGGTGCTGTGGCCAAGGATCCTGACTTTTGTGGTACCTGCAGAATACACAGAAGCTCTGGAGCCCCTGTTTAGTATCATCAGAATCCTGATTATGGCAGAGGAGAAGAAGAAGCACAGTGCCAAGGAGTCAACAGCACTTGTCATCTCTACGGGAGCTGGTCTGTACATTCATAAACACAGAAAAGCTTTTCTATTATGAGGGATCCATTTCCAGGAAGGCTACAGTGCTTTAACCTTAAACCCAACCCCAATCTCTAACCCCTACAGTGATGATGAAAATTGCTTTCTCTTTCTAGTGAAACTTCCTTCACCACAGCAGCTACTGGCCAGACTTCTGGTGAGTGAGTTACAAAGAACCAAACTACAACAAATTTAAGCTGATAAGGATAATTCAGTTCCAAATAAATGCTAATATAAATTACATGGAGACTCCAAACAAAAAGAAACACTAAAAAGGCATAATAAATTTCTGCTATACTAGTGACATTCATGAGTATTTATTATTCACACGATTACCTTCCCACTCTGAAATACTTGTTAAACTTTACTTATAATTTTAAAGTGAGCATATACTGAATCACATTCGTACGTACCACCAAACAAATTCCACATCTGTTGTTTGGATTTCCCATCTCTCTCTTTGGCCCCATATGGATCATTTACTCAAGCACTCTTTCCTCGTGTCTTTATTTAATTAATTGATATATCTAAGTCTTCTTTCCATTTATTTTTGGTTGGTGCTTTCCACGTATTTTTCACCTTCATCCTCAGGGAAAAGGAAGTGGGAGAAGGGCTAAGTATTAGCTTCATTCTAGAATAAATAAGAACAGACTGTGATGATTTGTTAAAAGATTATCCAATGCAGAAATCAAAGGAATTGGAACAACGGTAAAAGGAAAAAATAAGTGGGCCTTTTAAAGGCCCCTGAAATTGATGAGCTCTTTCTCTTCTATCCTTCAGGTAATATCTATGCCTGCCAGTTTAGGGGAGTTACGTGGGGCTGGTGCAATAGGGCTTTTGAAGATACTGCCTGAGATCATTCACCCAAAATTGGTAGACCTATGGAAAATACGTTTACCTGAGCTTCTGCAGCCTCTGGAAGGTACGAGGGAGTGGGGCCAGGTCTTTACCCAGCAGGGCAGGAACATAAAGAAATGATGCACCATTTCTCTGTGTAAAGCCATTATTGCTCATTTTAGGCAATAAAAACAATGAACTTGATATGCAAGGTAGATAGCTATTTTTTTCTTCTTGACTCCTTATGTTCTGTTTCTCTGCCAATTTTCATACTACAAGAAGACCTAGTGGGTAACATTCTTAGCGGAAATTTTTACTTTCGCTCTTGTCTTTTTCTTGTATCTAGAGAAATTCTATTTTAGTATTGTTCTAAAAAGTTATTAATCATGTTAGAATATCAAAATATGGTCATTTCAGTAGTCATCGAAATTAGCAGAAAGTCTAGTTTTTTATGATGGATTGAAGACCTTCTTTCTAGCACTTTAATGTTGCCAATGTAGTAAATTTGATTTCAGATAAACATTATGAGCAAAAAGAAAGCTTAAAATTGAACTCCAGCATCACTGGAGGCCTGGCCAGGAGAATTTGAGTCTAGGGGTGGTTTTTTTGTTTGTTTCTTGTTTTTTGTTTTTTGTTTTTTTGCGATTATTACATCAATTTTTGTTTCTAGGAAAGAACATCAGTATTGTTCTATGGGAAACCATGCTGCTTCAGGTGAGACTGGCTTCTAGAATAATTGTTGATAATGGCATGATGAAATCAGCTAAAGTTACCCATCCTAAATTAAAGGAACTAGATTCACGAGGATAATAACCTTTTCTTTTCTTTGGGAAAGAACTAGAATGTTATAAGTGATCACTTAAGGATAACATTCTTTAAATCGCCATAATTTGGACAACAATCTTAAATCCACTTGGGTAAGTTTCAGACAGTTTTGAAGATTTTACTTAGCAATATTTTTCCTGTGTCTTTCTTAAATCTTCTCTAATTTTCAACTTTTTGCTTCTTGCAACTTTATTCTTTTACCAGCCACATAATGAAGCACAGATTAACATAATTTCCACTTCCGTGCCCCTAAACACAACTGTATTTCCTCTTCCATTTGTGGCTTAATGTCTTTTTCCTAATGTCTAGAAAACAAATGGCCACATTATATCCCATTTCCAAAAACGAATTTCCTCTCTCACCCATAAACTTCTTGGAGCTTTACAACTAACAGCACTACAGGTGATACCAAATCCCAGAAATAGTAAATTGCAGACAGGCAGTGGACATTGACTTTACAAAGATGTGACTTCAGAAACTTGCAGGAGGGAAGAAGCCCACAGATAGGGAGCTTTTAATATAGAAGGTTTTCAGTTTATAAGGCACCTACCTAGGAATTACCTGTGGCTTCTTAGAAGAGTCAGTTTTCAATGATCTCTCCACAGCACCTCCTCTACCTTCTATCTCCATCCTTCCAGATTCAGAATCTCTGGGGGTCGTACCTGAAAACTGGCATGTTTTAAAGGTTTCCATCAGTGATTCTTATCCAATATGAGATTTGAAAGTGACTGCTCTACTCTCCTGGTCCTCAATTCTAGGATCCACCTCTCTCCTATATTTATGGTTCTTTTATGTTCCATTCCCTCTCTCAAAATTCCTACCAGATTTTCTTCTGCTACTATTTTAAAATAACTATCTCTACTAGGGAGAAGAATATTTTTTTTCTAATGGGAAGCCTTGACAACAGTTCCTTTTCCTCTTCCAATTTTGAATATATTTCTGGTCTTTTTTTCCCCAAAACTGTCTGCCCATGTCTTCTTCTCTTAAATTTCCAAAACTGTTTAGTTTCTTTAAAGAACCCATGAATGAGCTCCTATCAAGATCATACATACACATCCTTTCATTGGTTTTGTTTGGCACTGTGTCCTTTTCTAAGCTTAAAGTTGAAAAAATATAAGAGAAATAATATATACATTGCAATGTGTTTGTCAAAAAGAAAAAAGAACACCTTTCCATGTATTGTTCAAAGAAAAAGGACATGGGTTCAAAGGATTGATGTGACCCTGTCTCATAGGTATTGGTAAAACCACAAATCTTTAGTTACTAGAGTTGAAGTTTGCAGAAATGTACCTGTACATTGAAATGTGCCTGTTCTTTAAGACATTTAATTTTTGATTCCAAAAATCTCCATCCTGTTTGGGTTTGTTTTTTTTTTTAGTATGTAATAAGTTAAATTAATATTAACAAATGGAGTTTTTCCAAATCTATCGAAACTAGAAAAATGCCAAATTTAAGTTTCAGATTAGATTAGTTTCTATTTTAGGTCTTTTAGCAATGTTTATTTAAAGGAAGAAAAGGAAGTTGCTTTTCCACATTCTGTGTATCTTATTCTCCGTGCAATTCAGAACATATCATAAAATGTTTTTTAGAATAACAGGAAACTTTCAAAGGAATTAATTATTTTATGGGAAAAGTAATAATACTGTTTAAAATAGATTTAAACTTTTAAAAGATAAGTAACCAAAAAAATACCAAGTAAGCACATGAAACTGTCATATTCATATCTAACTTCCACTTCCTAAAACAGTTGCTCAAAGAATCCTTGTGGAAGATCGATGACGTGGCCTGGACCATTCAACTGACTCGGGATTTCAAACAACAAATGGGCAGTTACAGCAATACCTCCATTGAGAAGGTTGGTTTTTCAGCTAACGGGGAAACCTTAGCTTTTACCTGTGATCCAAAATGGCTTCTATAGCTCCATCTTGTCTGTATTACAATCAAAGGGAGGGAGGCACATTTAGAAAAAAGAGTTCCTTCTTTTTAAGGCCACTAGCTGAAAGCTGAATACTACCTTCTCTGCACCTCACATTTGGCCCAAATTTACTTGTATGGCCTCACATATCTGCAAGGAAGACTGAGAGGTAGATAAGATAGATATGTGCCTGACTAATATTCAGAGGTTCTTTCTAGAGGAGGAAGAAGAATAGATACTGGAAGGCTAACAGCAATGCTTAATGTCAGCTTCTGTCTTGGCTTCCATTATGCCAGTCTTGTGATGCTGGCTATCAAAAAGAATCTACTACAATTTAACATAGGCTTATAGCTAAAATAATACTCAAAAGCTAGTTCTAGGAAAGGGTGCCCAAAGAAATATGTTTTAATTTCCTGTGACAAAGAGGTATGGCCATGGAGAACAATGATTAAAGGCCCCACATCCATGTGTCGGTTAACAGGACAAGTCAGAGCAATAAAGTATTTTTCAAACATTATTCCTTTCCATGTTTTTAAAGTCAGTTCTTCTATCCCTCTGTCTCTAAATGGCCCCTACCTAACCTTCCACCTTGTAGCCATCCATTCCCAATGGGGTTTGGAGCCAGTTTCCCCCCTACTTCATACTAATGGGGCTTTAGGTAAACTATTTTATCTCTCTGGATACTCACCATACTCATCAATAAAATAGAAACAATACCCACCTCTGAGGGTTGTAGTATTCTGAGGGTTCAATGACATAAAGTATATAAAGTCCCTGGTGAAGTGCTTAACACAGGGCATGTGCTTCATATAAAAGTAGCTTGGAACATGGTCTTTGAACATAGTCTTTATTATGTTAATACCATTCATAAGTTTATTTTCCTGGAAAAATATTTACGTTTCTCAGTTCCAGTACTCAGTATTTCTTTCCACAAATTATTCATTATCAATCTTTGACTGACATATGTAATTTTCAAAATTCTCCTCACATATGTAATTTTCAAAACTCTCTAGTTTGGTGCAGAGTACTGATTTTCCAAATGGGTTTATCAAACCCACCAACACACATGAGAAAGATTTGGCGAGTAATGCTCTATCTTCTTATAACACAAACTAGCTCTGTGCACATCATGTCATGCCATGTATTTTTTTTTATTATTATACTTTATGTTCTAGGCTGCATGTGCCCAACATGCAGGTTTGTTACATATGTATACATGTGCCATGTTGGTGTGCTGTACCCATTAACTCATCATTTACATTAGGTATATCTCCTAATGCTATCCCTCCCCACTTCCCCTACCACATGACAGGCCCCGGTGTGTGATGTTTCCCTTCCTGTGTCCAAGTGTTCTCATTGTTCAATTCCCACCTATGAGTGAGAACATGCGGTGATTGGTTTTCTGTCCTTGCAATAGTTTCCTGAGAATGATGGTTTCCAGCTGCATCCGTGTCCCTACAAAGGACATGAACTCATCATTTTTTATGGCTGCATAGTATTCCATGGTGTATATGTGCCACATTTCCTTAACCCAGTCTGTCATTGATGGACATTTGGGTTGGTTCCACATCTTTGCTATTGTGAATAATGCTGCAGTAAACATACTGGTGCATGTGTCTTTATAGGAGCATGATTTATAATCCTTTGGGTATATACCCAGTAATGGGATGGCTGGGTCAAATGGTATTTCTAGTTCTAGATCCTTGAGGAATCTCCACACTGTTTTCCACAATGGTTGAACTAGTTTACAGTCGCACTAACAGTGTAGAAGTGCTCCTATTTCTCCACATCCTCTCCAGCACCTGTTGTTTCCTGACTTTTTAATGATCGCCATTCTAACTAGTGTGAGATGGTATCTCATTGTGGTTTTGATTTGCATTTCTCTGATGGCGAGTGATGATGAGCATTTTTTCATGTGTCTGTTGGCTGCATAAATGTCTTCTTTTGAGAAGTATCTGTTCATATCCTTTGCCCACTTTTTGATGGGGTTGTTTGTTTTTTTCTTGTAAATTTGTTTGAGTTCTTTGTAGGTTCTGGATATTAGCCCCTTGTCAGATGAGCAGATTGCAAACATTTTCTCCCATTCTGTAGGTTGCCTGTTCACTCTGATGGTAGTTTATTTTGCTGTGCAGAAGCTCTTTAGTTTAATTAGATCCCATTTCTCAATTTTGGCTTTTGTTGCAATTGCTTTTGGTATTTTAGACATGAAGTCCTTGCCCATGCCTATGTCCTGAATGGTATTGCCTAGGTTTTCTTCTAGGGTTTTTATGGTATTAAGTCTAACATTTAAGTCTCTAATCCATCTTGAATTAATTTTTGTATAAGGTGTAAGGAAGGGATCCAGTTTCAACTTTCTACTTATGGCTGGCCAGTTTTCCCAGCACTGTTTATTAAATAGGGAATCCTCTCCCCATTTCTTGTTTTTGTCATGTTTGTCAAAGACCAGATGGCTTTAGATGTGTGGTATTATTTCTAAAGGCTCTGTTCTGTTCCATTGGTCTATATGTCTGTTTTGGTACCAGTACCTTGCTGTTTTGGTTACTGTAGCCTTGTAGTATAGTTTGAAGTCAGATAGCATGATGCCTCCAGGTTTGTTCTTTTGGCTTAGGACTGTCTTGGCAATATGGGCTTTTTTTGGTTCCATATGAACCTTAAAGTAGTTTTTTACAGTTATGTGAAGAAAGTCATTGGTAGCTTAATGGGGATGGCATTGAATCTATAAATTACCTTGGGCAGTATGACCATTTTCACGATATTGATTCTTCCTACCCATGAGCATGGAATGTTCTTCCATTTGTTTGTGTCCTCTTTTATTTCATTAAGCAGTGGTTTGTAGTTCTCCTTGAAGAGGTCCTTTACATCCCTTGTAAGTTGGATTCCTAGGTATTTTATTCTCTTTGAAGCAATTGTGAATGGGAGCTCATTCATGGTTTGGCTCTCTGTTTGTCTGTTATTGGTGTATAAGAATGCTTGCGATTTTTGCACATTGATTTTGTATCCTGAGACTTTGTTGAAGTTGCTTCTCAGCTTAAGGAGATTTTGGGCTGAGACAATGGGGTTTTCTCAATATACAAACATGTCATCTGCAAACAGGGACAATTTGACTTCCTCTTTTCCTAATTGAATACCCTTTATTTCTTTCTCTTGCCTGATTGCCCCAGCCAGAACTTCCAACACTATGTTGAATAGGAGTGGTAAGAGAGGGCATCCTTGTCTTGTGCCAGTTTTCAAGGGGAATGCTTCCAGTTTTTGCCCATTCAGTATGATATTGGCTGTGGGTTTGTCATAAATAGCTCTTATTATTTTGAGATATGTTAGATCAATACTGAATTTATTGAGAGTTTTTAGCATGAAGGTCTGTGGAATTTTGTCAAAGGCCTTTCCTGCATCTATTGAGATCATCATGGATTTTTTGTCTTTGGTTCTGTTTATATGCTGGATTACATTTATTGATTTACATATATTGAACCAGCCTTGCATCCCAGGGATGAAGCCCACTTGATCATGGTGGATAAGCTTTTTGATGTACTGCTGGATTCGGTTGCCAGTATTTTATTGAGGATATTTGCATCGATGCTCATCAGGGATATTGGTCTAAAATTCTCTTTTTTGTTGTTGTGTCTCTGCCAGGCTTTGGTATCAGGATGATGTTGGCCTCACAAAATGAGTTAGGGAAGATTCCCTCTTTTTCTACTGATTGGAATTGTTTCAGAAGGAGTGGTACTAGCTCCTCCCTGTACCTCTAGTAGAATTCAGCCATGAATCCGTCTGATCCTGGACTTTTTTTGGTTGGTAGGCTATTAATTATTGCCTCAGTTTCAGAGCCTGTTATTGGTGTATTCAGGGATTCAACTTCTTCCTGGTTTAGTCTTGGGAGAGTGTATGTGTCCAGGAATTTATCCATTTCTCCTAGGTTTTCTGCTTTATTTGTGTAGAGGTGTTTATAGTATTCTCTGATGATAGTTTGTATTGCTGTGGGGTTGGTGGTGATATCACCTTTATCATTATTTTATTGTGTCTTTTCATTCTTCTCTCCTTTCTTCTTTATTAGTCTTGTTAGCAGTCTATCAATTTTGTTGATCTTTTCAAAAAACCAGCTCCTGGATTCATTGATTTTTTGAAGGGTTTCTTGTGTCTCTATCTCCTTCAGTTCTGCTCTGATCTTAGTTATTTCTTGCCTTCTGCTAGCTTTTGAATATGTTGGCTCTTGCTTCTCTAGTTCTTTTAATTGTGATGTTAGGGTGTCAAGGTTAGATCTTTCCTGCTTTCTCTTGTGGGCATTTAGTTCTATAAATTTCCCTCTACACACTGCTTTAATAGTGTCCCAGAGATTCTGGTGTGTTGTATCTTTGTTCTCATTGGTTTCAAATAACATCTTTATTTCTGCCTTCATTTCATTATGTATCCAGTAGTCATTCAGGAGCAGGTTGTTCAATTTCCATGTAGTTGAGCAGTTTTGATTGAGCTTCTTAATCCTGAGTTCTAATTTGATTGCACTATGGTCTGAGAGACAGTTTGTTATAATTTCTGTTCTTTCACATTTGCTGAGGAGTGCTTTACTTCCAACTATGTGGTCAATTTTAGAATAAGTGTGATGTGATGCTGAGAAGACTGTATATTCTGTTGATTTGGGGTGGAGAGTTCTGTACAGGTCTATTAGGTCTGCTTGGTGCAGAGTTGAGTTCAGTTCCTGGATATCCTTGTTAACTTTCTGTCTCGTTGATCTGTCTAATGTTGACAGTGGGGTGTTAAAGTCTCCCATTATTATTGTGTGGGAGTCTAAGTCTCTTTTAAGTCTCTAAGGACTTGCTTTATGAATCTGGGTGCTCCTGTATTGGGTGCATATATATTTAGGATAGTTAGCTCTTCTTGTTGAATTGATCCCTTTACCATTATGTAATGGCCTTCTTTGTCTCTTTTGATCTTTGATGGTTTAAAGTCTGTTTTATCAGAGACTAGGATTGCGACCCTTGCCTTTTTTTGTTTTCCATTTGCTTGGTAGATCTTCCTCCATCCCTTTATTTTGAGCCATGTATGTCTCTGTGTGTGAGATGGGTCTCCTGAATACAGCACACTGATGGGTCTTGACTCTTTATCCAATTTACCAGTCTGTGTCTTTTAATTGGAGCACTTAGCCCATTTACATTTAAAGTTAATATTGTTATGTGTGAATTTGATCCCGTTATTATGATGTTAGCTGGTTATTTTGCCCATTTGTTGATGCAGTTTCTTCCTCACATTGAGGGTCTTTACATTTTGGCACGTGTTTGCAGTGGCTGGTACCGGTTTTTCCTTTCCATGTTTAGTGCTTCCTTTAGGAGCTCTTGTAGGGCAGGCCTGGTGGTGACAAAATCTCTAAGCATTTGCTTGTCTATAAAGGATTTTATTTCTCCTTCACTTATGAAACTTATTTGTCTGGACATGAAATTCTGGTTTGAAAATTCTTTTCTTTAAGAATGTTGAACATTGGCCCCCCCACTCTCTTCTGACTTGTAGAGTTTCTGCTGAGAGATCAGCTGTTATTCTGATAGGCTTCCCTTTGTGGGTAACCCAACCTTTCTCTCTGACTGCCCTTAAGATTTTTTTCCTTCATTTCAACTTTGGTGAATCTGACGATTATGTGTCTTGGAGTTGCTCTTCTCGAGGAGTATCTTTGTGATGTTCTCTGTGTTTCCTGAATTTCAATGTTGGTGTGCCTTGTTAGGTTGGGGAAGTTCTCCTGGATAATATCCTGCAGAGTGTTTTCCAACTTGGTTCCATTCTCCCTGTCACTTTCAAGTACACCAATCAGATATAGATTTGGTCTTTTCATATAGTCCCGTATTTCGTGGAGGCTTTGTTCATTTCTTTTTACTCTTTTTTTCTCTGAACTTCTCTTGTCATTTCATTTCATTCATTTGATCTTCAATCACTGATACCCTTTCTTCCAGTTGATCGAGTCGGTTACTAAAGCTTGTGCATTTGTCACGTAGTTCTCATGTCATGGTTTTCAGCTCCATCAAGTCATTTAAGGACTTCTCTACATTGGTTATTCTAGTTAGCCATTTGTCAAATCTTTATTCAAGGATTTTAGCTTCTTTGATTTGGATTTGAACTTCCTCCTTTAGCTCAGAGAAGTTTGATTGTCTGAAGCCTTCCTCTCTCAACTCGTCAAAGACATTCTCCATCCAGCTTTGTTCTGTTGCTGACGAGGAGCTGCATTCCTTTCGAGGGGTAGAGGTGCTCTGATTTTTAGAATTTTCAGCTTGTTTGCACTGTTTTTTCCCCATCTTTGTGGTTTTGTCTACTTTTGGTCTTTGATGATGGTGATGTACAGATGGGGTTTTGGTGTGGATGTCTGTTCTGTTTGTTAGTTTTCCTTCTGACAGTCAGGACTATCAGCTGCAGGTCTGTTGGAGTTTGCTGGATGTCCACTCTAGACCCTGTTTGCCTGGGTATTGGCAGAGGAGGCTGCAGAAGAGTGAATAATGCTGAACAGCAAATGTTGCTGCCTGATCATTCCTCTGGAAGCTTTGTCTCAGAGGGGTACCTGGCTATGTGAGGTGTGAGGTGTCAGTCTACCCCTTGTGGGTGTATCTGCCAGTTAGGCTACTCAGAGGTCAGGGACCCACTTGAGCAGGCAGTCTGTCCATTCTCAGATCTCAAACTCCATGCTGGGAGAACCACTACTCTCTTCAAACGTCCATGCCATGTATTCAACAGCTTCCAGACTCACAAGATTATTCCAGAATAATGGTGGTACTAGTATTGCTCTGCCTACTAGTTTTTAGCTGCCTTTTAGTAATTAGCTGCCTAGATGCTCTCAAGCCTTACGCTGAACAAGAGTAAAGTAAGAATGTGCTAATTAGCTTCTGCTGTATCACAAACTAACCCTAGTGGCTTAAAATAATAGCTACCTATTTATCTCACAATTTTATACCTTGACACTTTGGGCTGGGCTCAGGTGGGTAGTCATCTAATCTTAACTAGGCTTACAAGGTATACTTGAGGTTGGCTGGTATATGATGCATCTCTTTTTTTTTGAGATGGAATATTGCTTTGTGACCCAGGCTGGAGTGCAGTGGCGCGATCTTGGCCCACTGTAATCTCCGCCTCCTGGGTTCAAGCAATTCTCCTGCCCCAGCCTTCTGAGTAGCTGAGACTACAGGCACATGCCACCACACCCAACTCAAATACAAATGTATATTTGTATATAAAAATATACAAAATATATTTGTAAAATGTAAATATATTTATTTGTTTTTTTAGTAGAGATGGGGCTTCACCATGTTAGCTAGGATGGTCTTGATCTGCTGACCTCATGATCCGCCCATGTCAGCCTCCCAAAATGCTGGGATTACAGGCATGAGCCACCACACCACCGGCCTATGATGCATCTTAAATAGCACAGTTGATTTCTGTTCCTGTTGTTCTCTCATCCTCTAGCAAGCTAGCCCAAGCTAACTCTCAGGGTGATAGCAACAAAGTATGCAAGGACTCTTGAGGTATAGGTGTAATAACCAACCTTGTATTTAACATGAATAGACTCTCCCTTAAATACTTCACCTTGTTTTAATATGAGTAGGCTCTCCATTAGCTGAGAAAACCCTTGGCTCCTTCATTTACAAGACATCAAGGGCTCCTTACCCACCCTCTTCCTGAAGGACTTAACTTGTGCAAGCTGACTCTCAACATATCAAAGAGTGCAATTAACTGAAAAGGTACTGAGGCAAGTAATGTCCGCAGTTCCCAGGAGTTCACTTGGCAGAGAGTACAATAAAGCCCCTGCGTTTGTGTCTGGCAGATAATACCCAGAGCCCCCACACCTATCACCCTGTGATGAATTTAAAGTCCCTGCACCTGGAACTGTTTGTTTTCCTATAACCATTTGTCTTTTTAACTTTCTTGTCTGTTTTACTTCTGTAAGAATGCTATAGCTAGAATCCTCCTCCCCTCTCTAAACCAAAGTATAAAAGCAAATCTAGCTCCTTCTTTAGGCCGAGAGAATTTCGTGCGTTAGCTGTCTCTCAGTCACTGGCTGATAAAGGACTCCTGAATTCGTCTCAAAGTGCAGCGTTTCTCTCTCACTCGCTTGGTTACAACATAGGCTCAGAACTGACCCATTATCATTTTTGCCACATTCTATTGGCCAAAGCAAGTCAAAAAGCCAGCCAGGTTCAAATAAATGGAAAAATAGACTCCTTTTTTGATTGAAGGAGCTGCAACACCCCATGGTAAGGAGACATGGACAGAAGTAGGATAGAAAAGTTGCTATTTTTGCACCCTACCACATTTTCTCCCAGTGCTAGGCTCCTGATTTCTTGGATTCCATGTGAAGCTCCAAAGCAGGAATGTACCATGCACTGGACCAAAATCTGCAGAGAAGCAACAGGTCAGCAGAACTGGGAAGCACTAAGACTAATATTTTACACCTAAGTCGAACTTTTCCCTTCATGACATCAATTTTTTCCTACAGCACAACTTTCCCAGATTCTTTCCACTCTTTCCTCCAAGGTGGGCTTAAATAGACTTTAGCAGCTTCGTCCCCAATTTGTATTTACGTCTGTATTGTACACAGTTTTCTCCAGTATAATTTCCTTATTATAGGGACTTTGACCTGAATAAGTGAAAGTGGGGTGGATGCGACCTGGTCAGATTCTCACTCTGATTGAGGCTACTGTCACTCTGGGAGTTGAGATAACAGCAACTGCTCCACCTCTTTTTAGCCTTATGCACCCCTCTCATTTCAAGCCAGACTGAGCTGCACATTTCTCCTGAATGTACTAATTTAACTTGGTCTGTGTCTATTAGAATGTCCTGTCCTCCTACTCCACAGATTCTCCTATGGTCAATAATGACCACTCATTAGGAACAGTCCTGCCAGCTATGCAGAGTCCTTGAAGTCGACCACCAACTAACCAGTTTTGTCTCTTGTGTGTGACAATATGGAGATTCTAAATAAATGATACTATATGGTTAGGAATTATTTGAACCTTATAAAAAAAATTAAAGCCATCTTCAAAATAACTGGTTGGTCAAGGTGGCTCACACCTGAAATCCCAGCACTTTGGGAGGCTGAAGCGGGCAGATCCCTTGAGACCAGGAGTTTGACATCAGCCTGGCCAACATGATAAAACCCCATCTCCACTAAAAATACAAAAATTAACCGGGCATGGTGGCACATGCCTGTAATCCTGGCTACTCAGGAGGCTGAGGCAAAAAATCACTTGAACCTAGGAGGCAGAGGTTGCAGTGAGCTGAGGTCATACTACTACACTCTAGCCTGGGCAAACAGGGTGAGACTCTATCTAAAAAACAACAACAACAACAACACAAAACCCTCTTTTTATTGAGCATGTTCAATGAGCATTTGTTGAGCACATATAAACAACCAGGAACTATACAGTGGAAATAATGAATAAGACCCTTTGCTACAATGAACCCAAATCCTAAGCATGGAGACAAGCAAGAAAATAAAAAATTACAATGGAGAGTGAAGAATATTTTAGGGGCAGGGCACAAAGTAGAGAAGAATATAGGAGAGCACAGACAGAGGGCAGAGCCTGGAGGAAGGAAACACTCTGAAGAAGACAGAATGCTTGAGGTACCTGGTTATTAAGTGGTTATTAAGTCACCCCACTTTCTTTCCTTCAGATGATTATTTTAACTCTTTCCACTCTTCATCAGAGTCTTGCTTTCCAACCTTTAAAATCCTGTTGCTTATCTTTTGTTTTCCAGAAATTCCTTTGGAAAGCCTTGGGAACCACCTTAGCATCCTGCCAAGATTCAGACTTTGTAAACTCACAGATTAAGGAGTTTCTGACTGCTCCCAACCAACTGGGGGATCAAAGACAGGTGGGACCCCTGGCTCTCAATTTCCTCTTATGATGATAACAACTAATCCTACCCATAAAACATCTGACAGCTTTTATAATAATGTTCTACTTAATCAGAATTATCAATTAATACACTCAGAATAGCCTAACAGAATTTTTCAGAAAAGTTAGGCTTTTCTATTTAAAAATCAATACTTCATTTTCAGCCAAGTTCGTGAAAATATTGAAAAATGAATTTCAATAATTCTTACCTAACGAGAGTATATTTGATATATTTTGACCTTAGCTTGACTTAGAGCATGATTGTGAGCATCAAAATGATTGAATTTACAAGCTGAAAGCTACTTATAGACTAATCTAGAGAGAATGTAAAGATAACCTGAAGTGTTTCTGCAAAGCTTTACCTACTTCCTACCATAGCCTGTGGCTATAGAGCATATGTAAATATGGAGGAAGCAGAAGATGTGCATTTTGTTGTTTTTGTTGTTGAGACAGAGTCTCACTCTGTCACCTGGGATGGAGTGCAGTGGCAGGATCTTGGTTCACTGCAACCTCTGCCTCCCGGGTTCAAGCTATTCTCCTGCCTCATTCTCCCAAGTAGCTGGGATTACAGGTATCTGCCACCATGCCCGGCTAATTTTATATTTTTAACATATAGTGTTTCACCATGTTGGCCAGGCTGGTCTTGAACTTCTGACCTCAGGTGATCCACCCACCTTGGCCTTCCAAAGTGCTGGGATTACAGGCGTGAGCCACCACGCCCCACTAAAGATGTATATTTTAAAACAAACAAATAAACCAACAAAAAATATTTCCCAGGCTGATAAAGACCACCAGTATAAAAAATGTATAGTGTGTTATACTTTCTCCTCAGAAATTATGAGATATTTAGGGTTCTTTCTCACACATTAAATGACCAGAAACCACTAGACCTCACTGAACTTTTGAAACTGCTTTTATGTTACTATTATTTCCTTTTTTCTTGTCAGATATTATTATCATTTATTGCTATTGGCACCATCTCAATATCATTTTTTTCCATCTTAGCTCTGGTATAGGTTAGGAAACAAAGTAACTTGATTTTAGATATAAGCATATAATAAGACTCTCATTCAAGCTCTGAGAGTTTCACAGACTTAAAAAATAAATTGTGACTGGGCACAGTGGCTTACGACTATAATCCCAGCACTTTGGGAGGCCGAGATAGGCGGATCATGAGGTCAGGAGTTCGAGACCAGTCTGGTGAACATAGTGAAACCCCGTCTCTACTAAAAATACAAAAAATTAGCCAGGTGTGGTGGTATGCACCTGTAATCCCAGCTACTTGGGAGGCTGAGGCAAGAGAATCGCATGAACCCGGGAGGCGGGGGTTGCAGTGAGCTGAGATTGCGCCACTGCACTCCAGCCGGGGTGATAGTGTGAGACTCTGTCTCAAAAAATAAAAAAATAAAAAATTATGATGTCCAATTGAGCTTCTCAAATGCCTTTTTTACTTAATTTTAAGTCCTTGAATATGTCTTACATACTCAAGTGGCTTAGTAAATGACCTCTAGATGAATAAAGTGTTAACACGTGACTTTCATAACCCACCAAATCTACTTGGTTTTCAATCTCCTAAGCATAATGTTTTCAATCATGTGATGCCAGAGCTCCAATTCTAGCTTCATACTGGAACGATTATTATCTAGACTCTACAAGAATGATCTAGTCTATGAGTTTTCATAATGGCTCTGGCAGGGTTATGCAACTGAATGACATATAACAGGTTTCAGGAACAAATTGCCATGAAGGAACTCTGGTGAAATCAGCTTTGGACAAGAGAGGTGGGGACAGCCAGAATATATAACCTGAGTGTGAAACAAGAGCTGCCAACTTTCAGAAATTTAACCTCTTAAGATACAATAAAGTTTCAGGAACAGAATGATTATTTAAAAGCATCAGTTAATTCAAGCTGGAAAAAACCTCCATTAGCGTCCCAGCAATCATAGATTGCAAGTCCAAAATCTTGGGGATAGCCTAAACGACCCTACTGTGACAAACCTCCCACCTCCTATCTGACTCATTTTGCACTGCTCTCCTCCCTGACTGCTCACTCAGCCCTCTCAGTGGACTTCAGGAGCTTTGCTCTTACCTTCTCTCTGATTGAAACTCTCCTTTCCAGATAGTCTAATGGCTCACTCCCTCACTCATTTCAGGGCTCTGCTTATTGTCACCTTGTCCATGAGACCATCTCTGACTATCCTATTTTAAAAATGCAAACTTCCCCCAATCCTCATTACCTATTCCTGCTTTACTTATCTTCATAGCACTCATCACCATCTGGCACACACGCTGTATATTTACCTGTTTACTGAATTGATGTGTTTACTTATTTCACTTCCCTATTACTTCCCTGTCAGTTCTCCTGGTTGTATACTTCACAAAGTTGGGGACTTTGGTATGTTCTGCAAACTACTGTACCCTCAGCACCTAAAAGGGTACCTGGCCCATAATAGGTGCTCAGTAAGTATTTGTTGAGTAAATAAATGGTTAAACTCAAAATGTCATACCTTCTCTGATTTTAGGGAATAACATCTATTTTAGGATACTGTGCCGAGAACCATTTCGATATTGTTTTAAAAGTACTTAAAACATTTCAAAATCAGGAAAAGTTTTTCATGAATCGATGTAAGGTAAGAAGAATCATCTTCTTCAAGGTTCTCAGTATTGCAAGGCCAGACAACCCTGATTTCTTCAGTGAATATCCTTTCTCTACATTACACTTACTCCTGTCGCCCGGTTCTTATTCCAGGTCAGAACTGTCTAAGCCTAGTCTTTGCAGGATGATCAGCTATATGAAAAGTCTATTTTCTCTGACCCTAAAGCTGATCTGGGAGATCCTAAATGCGCTCTGCATGTGCCTAGGTTTGCTGCTCTGCCAACCGCTCAGCCCTCAGGAATAGCTCCTCTCATGTATACTCTGCTTACCTTGAAGGAAAGGAGCCTGATAAGTAAATAATTAACAAAAGCTTCTCCCAGTTATCTCTCTGAAGCCCTGGTCGTCCCACAGGACCATCCTGCGTGTTTACATTTAAACAGGCAAAAATACATTCATTTTAGACTTCTTTGAATCATCCCAGTTCAGTTTCTTATCCCTATAGTGGTCCATGGGATTAGGAAAAAAACATGAGAAAAAATAAAACTCCTTCAGTCACATTTTTCGCATCTCCCTTTCCTGGTCTTCAGAGCCTTTTTTCTGGGAAAAAGAGCCTGACCAAGACAGATGTCATGGTCATCTATGGAGCTGTGGCCCTCCATGCTCCCAAGAAGCAACTTCTCTCCAGACTTAATCAAGACATCATATCCCAAGTCCTGTTTCTTCATGGCCAGTGCTCTCAGGTAACGCCCATTGCAGGACTGCCTCCATTTCTAGGCTGGGGTTCCTAAAACTTGCAGGGACTCAGCCCCTGGGAAGCTTTTTTCCTTCCCAGTCTTGGTATGTTTTTATCAGCAGCGTGAAAACAGACTAATACAGTAAATGTCTCAAGGATTACTACGCAGCCATAAAAAAAGAATAAAACATGTGCTTTGCAGCAACATGGATGGCTGCATCCTTCAGGCTCAAAGGATACAGGCCAAAAGAAAGATAGATAGGATCTGCTATGTTTGGGAAATGAGAACATATGGGAACAGAAAAATTCATTTTAAAATAGCATCAGGTAATCTATTTTCTTTCCTAAGGCCCTGAGCTGTTCATGTCCTACCACTGCTGTGATGCGTGATTGTCCCAGATCAATCATATCCATAGTGATCTCACCCTTGTTTGAACTTAAAACAGTTACTCCTGTACTATTTTAGGGCACCTGGCTTATTACTTCCTTGTAATAGTATCAGAAGTGTTAGCCCATGGTAGTTCTTTAACTTTTTATGTGATAAGACTTACAAATTACCTTGAACAGTGTTTCACAAATAGTAAGTGTCATATACATACTTTAAGTGAATAAAATAGGTCATTCGTCAGGCTTTTCAGTTCACCTATGTTGCACTGTCTTCCTCTCCACATTCATCCCAGCCACCCTGACCCTCCTTGATGCTTCTCAAACATACGAAGAATGTTCTACCTTCAGAGCCACCAAACCAGGTTGAAATTTATCTGATCATTCTGTCTTCCACAGCATTTTATTTGTATCTTTAGTAAATTGCTTTATACATGTTGTGAATTCATCCATTTTGCTGACAGATACCAGGCTGGCCACCTAAGAATCACGTAAGAATCAAGTTTAAAATATAGCTTCCTAGAGTTGTTTTCTAGAGAAGTTACTTCAGTAAGTCTTGGGAAAACTTTGGAAATCTATATGCTTAAAAGGTTCAAGTGATTATTTATAGATCGATGTAGGAGGCTTTCATTGATTGTATGCACATCTGCTGCTTCTCCTGTTAGATTGTCAGCACCTTGCTGACTCCTTTAGCTTCTGGTCTGTGTCTCCACAAACCACATGTTGATGCATAAGTGCTCTTCAAATTTATTCATATGTACATGTGATAAGAATAGACTCATAAGGACTCATGAAATTGTAGTCATCAGTATATGCTAGTGGAAGGGTATAGGGCAGTCTTCCTCACACCTTAGTTGCATAAGAATTGCCTGGAGAGCCTGTCAAAAATAGAGATGCCTAATGGATCCCAGTCTTCAGAGTTGAATCACTGAATCTGTATTTTCAAAATGCTCCTCAAGAGTTGATTCTGATGCCCCTAAAATCTGATAAGCAATGATGAAAATAGAAAACATAATAAAATATGTTTTATGTTACATTAATTTATAGTCAGTCATTGAGGAACATTATGAGGAAAATACAAGAGAGAGGAGCCAAGTAAGGTGGCTCATGCCTGTAATCCAACCACTTTGAGAGTCCAAGGTGGGAAGATCACTTGAGGCCAGGAGTTAGAGAGCAGTCTGAGCAACATAGTGAGGCTTCATCTCTACAAGAAATTATTTTTTAAGCCTGTAATCTCAGCCCTTTGTGAGGACAAAGTTGGAGGACTACTTGAGGCCAAGGGGTTGAAATCAGCCAGGAAAAAGTATCAAGACCTCATCTATAAGAATAAATAAATAAAACAATTGCCCAGGTGGGGTGGTACATACCATTAGTCCCAGTGCACTCTAGCCTGGGTGACAGAGCAACACCTGATCTCTAAAAATAAATAAATAAAAGAGGAAAGAAAATAAGAATGATGAAGATAAACATTACTATACACTTTCAGGGTACAGTCCGTTCTGCTATAACACAACATATACACAAGATAATATAGGTAAAAACATAAGGAGGAAATGAGATTGAGGCATAACACTCAACAAACTCCATCAGTGACACACTCTTTTTAGTTTAGAAGCCCCTCCTGGACAGATTATTTCTTTTCATAGATCTGAACAAAATTATTTCCCGTTGAATTTTTTTTTCAACTTTTAGATACAGGAGGCACACGTGCAGGTGTGTTGCATGGGTATATTGCATCCAGGTAGTGAGCATAGTACCCCACAGTTAGATTTTTTACCCTTGTCCTCCTCTAATAGTCCACAGTGTCTTGTTCCCATGATTATGTACTCAATATTTAGCTCACACTTACTTGGTTTTCTGTCCCTGCATTAAGTTTTAGTATTATGGCCTCCAGCTCCATCCATGTTGCTGCAAAAGACATGATATTATTATTTTTTATGGCTGTATAGTAATCCATGGTATATGTACTGTATTAGTCCATTTTCACTATGCTGATAAAGACATACCTGAGACTTGGAAGAAAACAATGTTTAATGGACTTACAGTTCCGTGTGACTGGGGATGCCTCACAATCACAGCAGAAGGTGAAAGGCACGTCTCATGTGGCAGCAGACAAGAGAAGAGAGCTTGTGCAGGGAAACTCCCCACTTATATAATCATCAGATCTCATGAGACTTATTCACTATCATGAGAACAGCATAGGAAAGACCTCCTCCCATGATTCAATTACCTCCCACCAAGTCCCTTCCATAACATATGGGAATTCAAGATGAGATTTGGGTGGGGATACAGCCAAACTATATAAATATGGTGTGTGTGTGTGTGTGTGTGTGTGTGTGTATCCGACATTTTTAATCCAGTCCTCCATGGTTGATTCCATGTCTTTGCTATTGTGAATAATGTAGCAATGAACATATGAGTGCATGTGTCTTTTTGGTAAAATGATCTATTTTTTAAGTACATTACCAGTAATGGAATCACTGGATAGAATGGTAGCTCTGTTTTAAGTTCTTTGAGAAATCTCCAATCTGCTTTCCACAGTGACTGAACTAATTTACATTCCCATCAACAGTGTATAAACATTCCCTTTTCTCCCCAGCCTCACCAGCTTTTGTTTTTTGTTTGTTTGTTTGTTTTTACTTTTTTTGTAATAGCCATTCTAACCACTATAAGACAGTATTTCATTGTGGGTTTGATTTGCATATCTATGATGGTTAGTGATGATGAGCATTTTTTCATATTTGTTGACCACTTATATGTCCTCTTTTAAGAAGTGTCTGTTCATGTCCTTTGTCCACTTTTTATTGGGGTTGTTTGTTCTTTGCATGTTGATTTGTTGAAGTTCCTTATAGATTCTGGATAGTAGACCTTTGTCAGATGCATAGTTTGAGGATATTTTCTCCCATTCTGTAGGTTGTCTGTTTACTCTGTTGATATTTTCTTTTGCTGTGCAGAAGCTCTTTAGTTTAATTAGATCCCACTTGTCAATTAAATATTTAATCTATCTTGAGTTAATTTTGATACATAGTGAAAGGTAAGGGTCTAGTTTCACTTATCTGCATATGGTTAGCCAGTTATCCCAGCAACATTATTTATAGAATAGAGTCCTTTTCCTATTGCTTTTTTGTTGTTGTTGTCAACTTTGTCAAAGATCATATGGTGTATGGCTTTATTTCTGAGTTTTCTATTCTGTTCTATTGGTTTATGTGTCTGTTTTTGTGCCAGCACCATGCTGTTTTGATTACTATAGCCTTATAGTATAGTTTGAAGTCAGGTAGTATGATACTTCCATCTTAGTATTGGTTTGGGTATTCAGGCTTTTTTTGTTGTTCCATATGAATTTTACAATAGTTTTTTTCTAATTCCATGAAGAGTGACATTGGTAATTTGATAGGAATACCAATGAATCTGTAAATTGCTTTGGGCAGTATGATCATTCTAACAATATTGATTCTTCCTATCTGTGAGCATGGAATGTTTTTTCATTTATTTGTGTCATCTCTGATTTCTTTCAGCAGCGTTTTGTAGTTCTCATAAAGATCTTTCATGACCTTGGTTAACTGTATTCCTAGGTATTTCATTTTCTTTGTGGCTACTGTAAATGAGATTATGTTCTTGATTTGACTCTCAGCCTGGACATTTTTGGTGTATGAAAATGCTACTGATTTTTATACATTGACTTTGTATCCTGAAACCTTACTGAAATCATTAATCAACTCCAGCAGTCTTTTGGTGGAGTTTTTCGGGTTTCCTGTGTATGCAATCATTTTGCCAGTGGATAGGAATCTTTCTACAAAAAATTAAAATTACAGAAATGCTACCTAAAAAATGGCATTTTACCTTGAAACACCTGAAGTCAGTTATGAAGGTTGGAACTTCCTATGAAATGGTAAAAGGAAGGAGGGTTATCTGAAGTCTAATGGATTGTTGTAATACCAGATTTGGATGGGAAAGACTCATAACACACAGTAAACTGAGGTAGCTGGTAGATTCATGGGGTATGTGCATGTGTATGCTTTGAGTATTCCTACGTGGCTCAGTTCACCTGTGCACCTTTCCTCTCACCGAGGAAACTGCACACAAGCAAATGTGAATTCAGCATGTACTAAAAGTATTCTCTGATACAGTATGTCAATCTCATTGGAACAAATCTGCATTTTCAACACAAATGTTATAGCAGAACTCACCGTACTCACAGTTCCAGAGTTAGCTGCCCTTTGACTTTTCATTTTATAATTTTTCACTTCTCATTTCCCTAAGAGCCTTTACCCTTCCTTACCAAAGTCTGTTGAGCCTCTTTAAATGATTGTGAAGGCTAAAACCCCAGACTTGAGGTCTCTAACCTGCCTTCTGCAGCTTACTCATGATTCACCTGGGGGAAAGACTCTGCAAATGTACAAGGTCTCAATTTAAAAATGGAAGAAGTGAATTGCCTCCCTCCCCTTGGCAAGACCCCCCTTGGCAAGGCTCTACCTCCTGCTTTACTATTTTCCTTCAGGTTGATGGGTGGGTCATTTTGTTGGGTTGAGTGTATATCTGACTGCTACTCATTGAGAATCTAATTTTGCCTTTATTTCTTCTTAGGTTCTTGGCATGTCTGTGATGAACAAGGTAGGAGATATAGATGATAGATAAGATAGATAGATAGATAGATAGATAGATAGATAGATAGATAGATAGATGCCCCCCTGAAGTATGCCAAGCAAAGATGTTCTTTTGATTTGATTCCATTTGAAAGATTTCCAACATGTAAAAATCCAGTTCTGAAGTCAGAATCCATGATCCTAATCTAGGGCAGAACAAGGGACTATATTCTGGTTCCACGGTCTTTAGAAGTTGAGCTATAAACTAAAGCAACGTTTTTCAAACTTTGAGTTGTGACCCACCAGTTGACCATGAAATCAGTTTAATAGGTCAAAAACAGAAAAATTATTTAATGAAATAACAGAGTACTTTACATATAAAAACTATAACTATTATTTCTGTTATATATTAAACATATTTGGGGCATATAGATATTAGGTGGAATTGTAAACTGTTTTCTACTGTTGTTTATGGTCAAAAAGGTTTGAAAGCCACTGCTCTAGAGAACTTTCATTCTATTGTGGGTGGTAGGGAGGAAAAATGGCCTTTGTTTCTCACTTTCCCTGCAACTTAGACCCTAGTCTGGAGTAGAGATGGCAAAGGAAGCAAAGATCCTCACTCCTCTCTGGGAACATATTTCAAAGCTAGGTCACATGTTAATAGACCTGAGCGTGGTGCCTTAGACCTTGACTTGCGTTGTGAATGCTTTTGCTTTAGGACATGGATCTGCAAATGAGTTTCACAAGAAGCATCACTGAGATTGGCATTGCTGTCCAAGATGCTGAGGATCAGGGGTTCCAGTTTTCCTACAAGGAGATGCTGATTGGTTACATGCTGGTGAGTGTGCAGAGAGGGAATAAGGAAGGTCCTGAGTATTCTATTACCAAGACTTCAGGGCTATCTTTTTAAAAAGTGAATAGACTTCACCAGTCCCGCATAACAGATCTCTGCCTTGTTTATGACCCAGGGCACCCAATGGTCCGATGAGATTGCAGCTGCATCTGGAAACTTTCCTGAGCCTTTCTGAAACATTTGATCTCCTTATTTGTGTTGCAGGACTTCATTAGAGGCGAGCCCCTGGATTCCTTAGCTAGCCCTGTTCGGTGGAAAGCCTTAATCGCCATTAGATATCTCAGGTAGATAATTGTTTGTTGTTTTCATTGAAAAAGTATTTTCCCACTTATCCTCCTCCTGATCAACTAACATCTATTAGTGCTTCGGTACACACTCCAAAAACTGAACATAGTTCATTAATAAGAGCTTCAAATTGGGGCTTTTTCTCCTTCCAAAGAGTTACGGATCTGGCTGAGAGATTGGTCATTTGATGACTGACAGAGACTGAAGAGCTACTCAGACGAATTACATGTATTGATATATGGACTAAAATTTCTCCGCAAAAGGAAATTCCTCTTTCTAGATCTTGGCCTCCAAGCAAATTTTAAACTTTCAATTAAAATCTTATGAAAGCCCTAATCACATTCTAGTTGGTTAGCAGCAATAATCCTGAAAAAGAAAATAATTTTTGGCACAATTTAAAAATAATATTTTCACCCTGCAGTGAAATAAATAGAAGTTATAACCACAATAAGATAGCATCTCATGCCAATCAGAATGGCTATTACTAAAAACTCAAAGAAAGATGCTGATAAGGTTGTGGAGAAAAGGGAACACTTATACACTGCAGCTAGGAATGTAAACTAGTTCAGCCATTGTGGAAAGCAGTTTAGATATCTCACAAAAGAGAGCTACAATTCAACCCAGCAATCCCATTCCTTGGTATATACCCAGGGGATATAAATAGCTCTACCATAAAGACATATGCAAGCATATATTCATTGCAGCACTATTCACAGCAGCAAAGACTTGAAATAAACTAGATGTCCATCCATGGTAGACTGGATAAAGAAAATGTGATACATTACACCATAGAATACTATACAGTCACACAAAAGAATTAAATCTGTCTTTTGCAGTAACACGAATGGAGCTGGAAGCCATAAACCTAAGCAAATTAATGCAGGAAAACCAAATACCACTAATTTTATAAGTGGGAGGTAAATATTGAGTACACATGGAAACAAATAAGGAAATAATAGACACTGGGGCCTAGTTGTAGGTGGAGGTTGGGAGAGGGTGAGAATTTTAAAACTATCTATCTAGTTCTATGCTTATTGATGAGATAATCTGTACACCAAATCCTTATGACATGCAATTTACCCATAAAACAAACCTACACATGTACCCTCTGAACCTAAAATAAAACATGAAGAAACAAAAAGAAAAAGAAATAGAAGTCCTCTGTAAAGATTGGGAAACCACACAAAATTTTTAAGAAATAATAAAAACCACCCATCGTGCCCCTGTTGCTAAAACTCTGGTCTATTTCCTTGATGTGGTTTGACTTTGTGTCCCCACCCAAATCTCATCTCAAATTGTAATCCCCAAATGTTGAGGGAGAGACCTGTAATCTCCACGTGTGAAGGGAAGGGGGCAATTAGATCGTGGGAGTGGTTTCCCCCATGCTGTTCTCATGATAGTGAGTGAGTTTTCATGAGATCTGATAGTTTTATAAGTGTTTGGCAGTTCTTCCTTCACATGCTTACTCTTTTCTGCTGCATTGTGAAGAGGTACCTGCTTTCCCTTTGCCTTCGGCCACAACTGTAAGTTTCCTGAGGCTTCCTGAGCCATGTGGAACTGTGAGTCAATTAACCTCTTTCCTTTATAAATTACCTAGTCTTGGATATTTCTTTATAGCACTGTGAAAATGTGCTAATACATTCCTTTAAGCCTTTATTTCTAGTCCTCCATTTTTATAACAGAGTTGAGATTCTACTCTGCATATGGTTTTTCATCCTGCTTCTTCTAACTTCACCTTACATATTTCCACGTTGTCACCAATTCTTCACAAATATCATACTTTTCTTAGTTTTTAGTTTTTGTTAATGTTTAATTGTGGCAAAATAAATAAAATATAAAATTTATAATCAGTCATTTTTAAGTGTACAGTTCAGTATTGTTAAGTACATTCATATTGTTGGCTAAAAGTACTTGGCTTTATTTTTGGGTTCTCTATTCTGTTCCATCAGTCTAAGTGCCTATTTTTACACCAGTGCTATGCTGTTTCAGTAACTATAGTTTTGTATGAAGTCAGGTAATGTAATGACTCCAGATTTGTTCTTTTTTCTTACTATTGCTTTGGCTATGTGGGCTCTTTTTTTATTCCATATGAATTTTAGGATTGTTTATCCTATGTCCTATGAAAAATGATGATCGTATTTTAATGAGAATTGCATTGAATTTGTAGATTACTTTGGGCAGTACGGGAATTTTCACAATATTGATTCTTCCCTTCCTTGAGTATGGGATGTGTTTCCATTTGTTTGTGTTATCTATGATTTCTTTTAGCAGTGTTCTGTAGTTTTCCTCATAGAGATCTTTCACTTCCTTGGTTAAGTATATTTCTAGGTATTTAAATTTTTTTTAGCTGTTGTAAAAGGGATTATTGTTGGTATGTAGTAGAGCTACTGATTTGTGTATATTGATTTTTGTGACCCAAAACTTTGTTTTTTATAGCCATTCTAATGAGTATGAGGTGGTATTTTCTTGTGGTTTTGATTTGCATTATCCTAATGATTAGTGATGTTGAACATCATTTCATATGTTTTTAAGCTATTTGTATATTTTTTATGGAGAAATGTCTACTCAAGTCCTTTCCATATTTTTAAAATCAAGTTGTTTGGTGTTTTGTTGTTTAATTATAGTATTTTTTAAATTTATTCTGGACATTAACCTCTTATCAGATGTATGATTTGCAAATATTTTATCCCGTCTAATAAGTTGCCTTTTCACTCTGCTGATTCTATCCTTTGATTCACAGAAGTTGTATTTCAGTTTGTTTTTTCAACCTTTATATTTGGGAGTACATGTGCAAGTTTCTATATTGCATGATGCTGAGACTTGGGGTACAAATGAATCTGTCACCCAGGTAGTGAGCATAGTACCCAATAAGTAGCTTTTTTCAACCTTGCTCCCCACTCTCACTCCCTCTTTTGTATTCCCCAAATGCACAGAAGTTTATAATTTTTAAGTAGTCCATTTGTCTATTTTTCCTTTTCTTGCCTGTGTTTCAAGAAATCACTGTCAAATTCAAGATCATGAAGCTTTTCCCTATGTTTTCTTCTTAGAGTTTCATAGCTTTAGCTCTTACATTTAGATCTTTGATCCATTGTGAGTTTATTTTAGCATATGGTGTAACATAAGAGTCCAACTTAACTCTTTTGCATGTGGATATTTGGTTTTTCCAAGACGTGTCTTATAAAGATTGTCCTCACATCAAAAGCTTGGTCTACAAAAGGAAAAACAAATAAATGCCACTACATCAAACTATAAAGTTTCTGCAGCACAAAGGGAATAGTCAACAAAATGAAAAGGCAACCTATGGATTGGAAAAAATATTTGCAAACCATGTATCTGATTAGGAGTTAATATCCAAAATTAAAAAGAACTCATACAACTCAATAGCAAAAAAATATATAACCTGATTTAAAAATGGACGAAGGACCAGAGTAGACATTTCTTAAAAGAAAACATGCAAATAGCTAAAAGGCAAATGAAAAATACTCAATATCACTCATAATTATGGAAATACAAATCAAAACTGCTCTGATATATTACCTCATACCTGCTAAGATAGCTGTTATAAAAAGAAACCCTAACACATGTTAGCAAGAATATAGAGAAAGGGAAACCCTTGCACACTGTTGGTGGGAATGTAAATTGGTGCATCCATTATGGAAAACAGGATGGAGGGTCCAAAAGAAATTAAAAATAGAATTACTATGTGACCCAGCAATTTCTCTTCTGTGTATATACCCAAAGGAAATGAAATTACCACCTCATAAAGATATCAGCACTCCCTGAGAGATGAAAAATTACCTATTGGGGTACAATGTACACCCTTTGGGTAACAAGTACACTAAAATCTCAGACTTCACTACTATACAGCTCATCCATGTAACCAAAAACCACTTGTACCCGTATAGCTTTTTAAATTAAAAAAATTTTAAGTTATCTGTACTTCCATATGTATTGCAGCATTATTAACAATAGCTCAGATGTAGAAACAACCTCGGTGTCTGTCAATGAATGAATGGATAAAGACATTGTGATATTTATGCCCATAATGGAATATTACTCAGCCTTTAAAAAGGAGATCCTGCCATTTATTACAACATGAGTGGACTTGTACAACATTATACTATGTAAAATAAGCCAGACACAGAAAAAAAATATTGTATAATCTCACTTGTATGTGGAATTTTTTTAAATGTCAGATATACAGAAATGGAGAATAAAAAACAGTGGCTATTGTTTTATTCTAGTGGTGGGTAGGAAATGGAAAATGTAAGTCAAAAGATATAAAGTAGCAAGGAAGTCTGACGAACGAGTCTAAAGATCTAATAATGTACAACCTAGGACTATATTGAATAATAGTGTATTGTATTAAGGATTTTGCTAGGTGAGTAGATTATAGCTGCTCCTACTTTTGGTCTTGCCGTGGGGCAGAGGTGGGAGCGGGTAGAAGAGAAATGGATAACTATGTGAGATGATGGTTATGTTAATTTGTTTCACTTTGGTAACCTTTTCCTATGTATATCTTATAACATCATGTTGTAAACCTTAAATATACTCAATAAAATTTGTTTTTTAAAAAATTGTCCTTTCCCCATGGAATGGTCTTGGTACCCTTGTCGTAGTTCATTTAATGGTTTACTTATGAGCTCTTTATTCTATTCCATGGATTCATATGTCTCTTTTTTTGTTTTTGTTTTTTGAGACGGAGTCTTACTCTGTCACCCAGGCTGGAGTGCAGTGGCACAGTCTCGGCTTACTGCACCCTTGACCTCCTGGGTTCAAGTGATTCTCCCTCCTCAGCCTCCCAAGTATCTGGGACCACAGGTGAGCACCACCACACCCAGCTCATTTTTCTATTTTTGTAGAGACATAGTTTTGCCATGTTGTCTAGGCTGGTCTGAAACTCCTGGGCTCAAGCTGTCAGCCCACCTCAGCCTCCCAAAATGCTGGGATTACAGATTCCTACCACCACACCTGGCCTACATGTCTAACTTTATGCCAGTTACATACTATTTTGATTACTGTGCTTTTATAAAAAGTTTTGAAATCAGTAAATATAAGACCTCCAACTTTATTCTTCTTCAAAATTGTTTTGGCTATTTAGGGTCTCTAGAGATTTCATATGAATTTTAGGATGAATTTTTCTATTTCTACAAAAAGCACCTTTGGTATTTTGATAGGAATTACATTAACTCTGTAGATCTAATCTTAACAATATTAAGATCTCGTCATCTTTACATTATTGTTTAATTCATGAACATAGGATGCCTTTCCATTATTTGTGCCTTCTTTCATTTCTTTCAACAATGTTTAGTGTGTTTCTGTGTTTCACTTAGTTAAGTTTATTCCTAAGTACTTTATTCTTTTTGATGCTGCTGTAAATGGAATTGTTCATTTCCTTTTCAGTTTGTTCATTTCTTAACAAATCAGTTGTACATAGAAATGCAACAGATTTTTGTAGGTTGATTTTGTATCTCGCAACTTTGCTGAATTCATTTATTAGTTCTCACAGTTTTTTGGTAGAGTCATTAGGGCTCCTACATATAAGACTGTGTCATCTCTAAACAGAGATAGTTTTACTTCTTCTTTTCTAATTTAGGTGCCTTTTTTATTTTTCCTTGCCTAATTGCTCTGGCTAGGACTTCCAGTACTATGCTAAATAGAACTTGTAAAAATGGTATCCTTGCCTTATTCTTGATCTTACAGGGGATGTTTTCAGCCTTTCACCATTGAGTATAATGTTAGTTATAAGCTTTTAACATACGGTGTTGATTACGTTGAGGTAACAAATATATCTTTAATGGCTGCCTAGTGTTTTGTATAAATATGTCTCATCTTACTGAACCAACCTCCTATTGCTATATATAATTGTTGCCTATTTTAAAAACTATAAATAATACTTTGATGAACACCTTTGTGCAAAAAATTATTTTCTGAACTTTTAAGTATAATAGTTGATAGTTTTATTCAATAAATATTATTAAGTGGCATCTATGTCATATCAGTCAGTGAACTCGGTTACAAAAGAGTGATGATGAACAAGATATGACCCTCCCCTGACAGAGTTTCAGCCTACTGGGGGAAACGGATGTAAGAAGCACCCACGTAATTTCTCCAAATGTGGTAAGAGGCAAGATAAGAGAAAGTACAGGTTGCCATGTTAACAAAAATGAGAGAGGTTTGTAGAAATCTCAAATAAATCAATCTTGAAGATGAATTAAGAATTAACCAGGCTCTGGAAGAGTGTCGTCAAGTAGAAATACAATGCAAGTCACATATGTCATTTAAAACTGTCTGGTAATCACTTTTAAAACATTGAAAAGAAATGATTAAATTAATTTTAATAGTATATTTTATTTGATCCAATATATTTATTATATTATTTCAACATATATTCAGTATTTTAAAATTGGATAATTTATATTATTCTTCATGCTAAATCTTCAAAATCCCATGTGTTACACTTACATTGCATCTTAGTCCGGATCAGCCCACAACTCGTGTTCACCAGCACATGTGGCTAGAGACAGCACAGCTGTAGAACTTGAAAACTAATCTCTAATGACAGCAAGCAAATCAGTGGTTGTCAAGGGGGAGGAAAAGATAACCTGCAAAGGGGAATAGAAAAAAAAAAAAAAAGTATGATAGAAATATTCTATATTGGTTATCTAACTGTCAGTGTTTTCATAAGTGTGAATATCTCTCAAAATTGTTTTAATGGATGCAGCTTACTATACATAAATTGTACTTTGATACATTGATTAACAGTGAGCCAGACAATAAAGACGAGAATACTACATAGAGCTTTCCCAGCTGGTACTGAATTTTATTCCTCTCTAAGAGAACCTTATTTCCCTGATGGTGTCATCATTTTTAATTGCTTTGCTAATTTGGTAGCTGACTAATGGTATCTTATTGTCTTAACTTACATTTATTTAAAAGTAAATGGGGTTTTTCAGGCTTATTGAACATGTGCATTTTTCCAAGTCTTGTCTAGACTTTTTCGTATCCTCATGAAGTCTATAGTAAACATTTGAAAGAAAGGCAGAAAGGAAGAAACACTCCAGTATCATTTGTTCACTTGTGCATTCATAAGAACCTATAGTATATGTGGCACTATTTAGAACATGAAAAGACACATGAAATTGATAAAAGTCACTGCTGCAGACCTACAATCTAGTTGAGGAGATACATGTATATCTCTCTGTCATTCTCTCTCTCTCTCTTTCTCACACTCTCTCTCATACACACGCACAAGATGGAGAAAACAAGTGGGTTAAAGCTGTCACAGATCATATAATAAAGTGTTAAGGAACACAAAGTGAGTGGTGATTTGTTCATCAATCTAAAGAATGGAGGCGTATTGACTATGCTCACCAATGCAGTCTGATTCTACATTCCCTACATTCCCATCTCTCCCTACTCCTGTCACCACCTCTCTCAACATCCCAACATGTCAGAAAATGTGACATATTAGTCACATAGTCAGACGTGATTGGCAGTTCTTGGGAACTCCACTGGGTATGTTCTGTTGGTCGTTGTAATATCCATTCCTCCACCTGGTTCTCATTTCAGTAAACTGAAACCTCAGCTGTCACTACAAGATCACCTTAACATTCTTGAAGAGAATACTCGGAGGCTGCTGCCCCTTCCACCTCTGGAAAATCTGAAAAGTGAAGGCCAGACAGACAAGGACAAGGAGCACATTCAAGTATGCACTAGTGAGGCCTAAGCAGAATGAAAATCTGCAGTGGGACCTTACTGTCTCTCCCCAGCCTGGGACTTACACACACATATTTGATTTCAGTTTCTCTATGAACGATCCATGGATGCCCTAGGAAAACTTCTGAAGACCATGATGTGGGATAATGTGAATGCAGAGGACTGTCAGGAAATGTTTAATGTGAGTAGAGCCTCTACTCAAACTGATTCTCATTCTCCCTAACCTGTTCTTCAATGTTCACTCCAAACTCTACTGCATTTTCCTCACATGAAGACATCCAGCTGGACCCACCCACACCCCACATACAGCCATCTACTTAAAAATTTTTTGTGGGGAGGCGAGCACCCTGTTACAGAAGAGGCAGAGACAGACAGAGAGAATATGAAACTAGATGAATATGAAGAATACTAAAGAAAGAACATTTATTCTTTGACCAACAGCTTCTCCGAATGTGGCTTGTTTCACAAAAAGAGTGGGAAAGAGAAAGAGCCTTCCAGATCACTGCGAAAGTGCTGACAAACGATATTGCGGTAAGTAATCCCCTGGAATGAATAGACTTTATTGCTTGTGAACAGCAGGGATCTCTGAGACGTCTGGAATGCAAAACTCCTGCATGGTGGATCTTGCATCTCAGAGCAAAGTGCTTTTTGAAGTACTTTTGGAGAGAGCTCTAACTTCAGAGTGCAGCTCACACATACAAATTGAGCTATTGGGTTGTCTTTGCATGCATGCTTACTTTTCCACTGCCCTTAAAAATAGGCATCTTTTAGGAGAAAGTGCAAGATCAGATTTCATTCCAAGGACCTGCAGAGAGAAAATAAGAGACTTGAGATCCAGTGTTGGGAATATCCTGGGATATGACCAAGCTACCTCATCACAACAGGGTGCCTCCTTTATCCTGCAGGCACCAGAGAACTTTAAAATTGGTTCACTGCTTGGACTCCTGGCTCCTCACTCCTGTGATACCCTGCCCACCATCCGTCAGGCGGCTGCTAGCTCAACTATTGGTCTGTTCTATATAAAAGGTGAGGGAAAGATGGGGAGCCCACAAATGAAGAAAAGAAACCCATCTTCTTTTATTCTCAGCTTTTCTCCTATGCACCTGTGTCTCTCTCCTTTCTCCCCTCTCCTCTCTCTTCTTTCCTCATTTTCCTCCTTTTCTCCTCTCCTCTCCCCTCCCCATCTCTCTCTCGGTCTCTCTCTGTCTCTCTGTTTCTCCTTCCCTCTCCAGTTCAGCAATTTCTGTTTTAATACCTTCATTATATCACAGAATCTGTCTCCTAGATCTGAAACAAGTATTTCTTTCCTCGGTGGCTCTGTTTTCCCATTTTTTAAAATAGAGGTAATAACACCAAAGCATTATAAAGATCCATTAAAGTAGGTAAAATGTTTTGAGAGTCTCCGATTTAAATCACTAAGCAATTGGGCATATTAGCAATGCTTCCTCTATCACATGGTTTTCTTCAGGAGAAAATTGCAGTATTATCATGGTACTATCATGGTACTAAGTGCCTTTCAAAGCTCTCCAAGAGACAGAACATTGTGGAAATTTTCAGAGCAGGAGCTCCTCCTGCTCTCCAAGTACATGTGAATAACTGTCAATACCACAGATATTAGGAATTTTTAAACCTCCGTCTCAGGCTGAAACCAACAATCAGGGCTTCCTGTCCAGGTTAATTGAGTCCATGTTTCATCAAGGACAGCTCTACATTGTGTGTGTGCAGTTCTGCAGAGCAGGCGCAGCCAGAAACAGTCTAGACTTAATGCCATCTCATGCCTGCCTGTGTTCCACACATCACTCTTTTAGGTATTCAAAATATTTGTTGAGTGCCTTTCCATGTGTCAGGCACTGTTCTAATGCTGGGGACACAGAGATATTACAGTTCCAATATTCACATTTTATAAGTGTGTTAAAGCCAAAAGGTAGGATTTGGTTAGGGGGAGAGAGATAGTCAGTCAAAAGAAAAGAAAAAACTCTTCAGCAGAATCAAAGTAGGTATGAAAGTCCTTTGGGATATAGGAAGATAATTATGGATATATGTTTTTACCAAGTCAGGAAAAAAGCAGAATTAAGGAAGTGAGAACTAAAGAACCATTCCAGGCTGGGCGTGGTGGTTCACCCTGTAATCCCAGCACTTTGGGAGCCCAAAGTGTGTGGATCACTTGAGGTTAGGAGTTCAAGACCAGCCTGGCCAACATGGTGAAACCCCATCATCTACCAAAAATACAAAAAATTAGCCAGAAGTGGTGGTGGATGCCTGTAATCCCAGCTACTCGGGAGGCTGAGGCAAGAGAATCACTTGAACCTGGAAAGCAGAGGTTGCAGTGAGCCAAGATCATACCTGTGCACTCCAGCCTAGGAGACTGTCTCAAAAAAAACAAAATGAAACAAAAACCATTATAGTAATAACAGAAATATGCCAGTTGAAAACTCATAGGAAGAAAGGAATTTGGATTCTATTATTGTTCTACCTATTTTTCCTTTAGCCTACTTCATTTTCCTAAAATATGAAAAATTCAGGTCCTCAAACACTCTTTGTTAATAAAACTCCCATACTTTGTAATTTACATTGACATTTTCCCTGATGGACCAAACGAGCATGGTGGAGAGAAAGAACATGTACTACTAAAATACCTACTAGACACAAGTAACAAGTGTGATGCTAAATGAAATACCCATCGATACTCATGGACATTTCTCACTCAGTTTTGAAAGGGGAGAATCTGAAATTAAGAAGTTTCCAGTTACTTGGACCACTGAAAGTAGAGTAACTGGGTTTTGAGCTCAGGCGCATCTGACTTCAAAGTCCACGTGTATTGCACTGGGCTAGGCTGCCTTCCGTAGAATGGTTCATGTGTTAGTTTCCATGATTAATATACATTCAAATAACAAACAGAAAATCTTTATTGGTTAGGCCTGCATTTACAAATTGATATCAACAATCACTTACACAGTTGCTGATGTAAACTTCTCATTACAATAGTTACTTTTCAGTTTCCCCAATGAGGGAGCTCACTGAAGAATAGAAATCCAAGAGAGATAGCAGCATAGCAGAGTAGTTGGAGCCTGGGCATTTGTGTCAGACAGACCAGAGCTCAAATTCAGACTCTCCTATTTTTATTCACCATGTGCCTTGGGGCATGTCTTCACATCTCTGTTCCCACCTTCTCATCTGCAAAACCAAGAAGGGAACAGGAGAGTCTACCTCAGATAATGCTTATGAGTAATAAATGAGATCGTTGTATGCAGAGTGTTTGCATGGTGCCCAGCATGTAGAAACCCCTCAGTATGTGTTAGCGCTTATGTTAACCATCTCATCAGACAGCAGCTAATTTAGAGTCATATCAACATGTAGCCAGCCTCGTCAACCCCTATCAGGTCTTTGAATGCTTAAACATTTCTCCCTTTGTTGATTTTAGGCATTCACCTGGAAGTGGAAAGACTGCAGGGTTTGCAGGAAGGGCTGGAGAGTGATGATGTGCAGGTTCAGATCAAGATTTCTTCTAAAATAGCTAAGGTAATAAATACGGAGGAGTGGCCAGTGGATATAAAGATTCTGGATTGATTTCCAAATGGGAAAGCTACATACTCCCCACTGCAAAGGAAGATAGATATTCAAGCTGATTGAAGGACTCATGGTCCTGTCATTTTCTAACTCTGAGTACACATGCCTAGTCAACACTCACTACTGATCATTTCATATGGTGGGAAACTTTGTAGACCAAGTGTTCTTCCCCAGAATGTGGGATGCTGTGGGTTGGAGTGGAAGGAACAAGAGCTTTGGAGTTAATCAGATGCACTCTGTGTGCACTGATTGAAGTTCAGTCTCCTCACCCTCAAGAAACAAAAACAAAAGACCATTTTGTGGTTGTTGTGAGGACTGGCCGATCAATTCAATCACTCATTCAGTCATGCATTCACTTACCTCCCTTCTCCTGAGCACTTACCGTATGCAAAGCTCTATTCTAGGCACTAAGAAAGCAGAAAATACAATTCCTGTTTCACTGAGCTTGCATCTTAGTAAAGGAAATCCAAAAAATAAACATCAGATAATGATAACCAAGAAAAATAAAGTCAAGAAAGGGAATAAAGAATAGGTAAGAAGTGATCCTCTGGAGAAGGACACCCTGAAAGAGATAATCATGGAAATATCTGGAAAAGAGAATCCCAGGCAGAGGGAAAACAGCAAGTGTAAAGCCCCTGAAGTATAGAAAGAGGGAGTAATGAGATCCAAAAGATAACCAGAGGCTGATCCAAGGGCCTTCTGAGCCTTTTTAAGGAACTTTTTTTTTGCTCTATTTGAAATCAAAAGCCAGTGGAAGGTTCTGAGAAGAGTCAGGCCACTACACATAATTATGCCAATTTTGAAATGCAAAAAGGCACCCTCATGTGTGACAACATCACTCATAATGTAGACATTACAGATTTATGTTGATGTTAATGGCAATTTTCCACAGGTGGCAGTAAAGGATCCAGCAAAATCAGTACGTTATGACAATATACTTAAAGAGAGAAGTGAAATATCTTGAGGACGGGGCTCATATTCCTAGTGTGCAAATGCCTCTTCTAGGCTAACAGTGGTTCTAAGAGGGAAAACACAAAAAGACTTACATTTCTGAAGCGCCACTCTGGCAGCTATGTGGAGACTTGAATGTAGGCTGTTAAGAGCAAAATTAGGGAAGTCAGTTTGGAGGAAACTGCAAGACTCCAGCTATCAAATGAGGCAACTGGGACCAAGGAAGGTGGCTGTAGCAGAGACACGAGTAGTTGATCAGCAAATGACAGAGAAGCCATTTGGGGGACAGGAAGGGAACATATGTCAAATGCCTTAAAAGGTGCTCAACACATAATAGGTGCTCAAAAACATGAGCTCCCTTCTTTCCTTTGCTCCTGAATCAACATCCAACCCACTGTGAGACAAAACAGCTAATCATGAAGCTTGGACAAGAGGCAAGCATTTGGAGTTACATAGAATGGTAGCCATGGCATAGTCCTTTGATCTTAGAACCATAATAACTCAGCAAATGGCTTGGATGTGCAAATATTCAAGGAAAGGAGCTCATATCTTCACAATATCATCCGGCCACTTAATGCAAGGGGAAGACCACTGTAAATAGGAACTTTCTCAGGTCTACAAACTCATAATCATTACCATTTTGCTTAGTTAATTCCCCAGATAATGATCCTGGAACTCATTCAAACACCAGTTTTTCACCTGCCCTCCCACTCCTTTTTCATTAATGCACACACACAGACATACACACTCAAATTCACACACTGCTATCAACCAAGCATTCTGTATAGTGCTTGCACCTAGAGATAACAATTGCAAAGTTCTTCCATTTTATTGACCTTTTATGGACTGTTCTTAATATTGAAATATGGAAGAGCAAGAAACAAAGCTCATAATAATCCATACTCCGTATGTACATTGTCCACCACCTGACTATTCAGCATGGTAATTTGTACATACTGATAGATTTTCCTGAATTCTCAAGGTTTAGGTATTATGTGGCAGATTCAAGACATGTTTCTATGATATATGAATGGATGTAAAAGGAATTTATAATGTATATATTGCTATATAAGCATTCTACATTATTTTTCCCTATGTAGTATGCTATAACTTTAGGCTTGGAGAGGAAATTGCCTTAGCAGGCTTAGGATTCAATAAACATGAAATGATAAAAAGGCAACTCCATGGAAAGTTTGCTTAGTAATAAAAGGTCATGTCTATGCCCTGTTCTAGTATTTTCTCTAGTTTCTGGGGCCTCAGTCAAAACTGTTGAAAAGTTCAGTGGCTTCTAATACCCTAAAACAAACCATAACAGCATGTTGTAAGTATCTAGATATAAAATGGGGTGGTTGATTACATGAATCTTTCTGGGTGCATTTTCAGATTGTCAGTAAATTCATCCCAAATGAAGAAATTCTGATGTTCTTAGAGGAAATGCTGGATGGTCTGGAGAGCCTCAACCCCACATGCACAAAGGCCTGTGGCATATGGATGATCACTGTCCTGAAGGAGCAGGGAGCTGCTCTGGAAGATCAGGTGAACTGATAGCCAGTTTTACAACTGAGCAGAATTCTATCACTTCTAAAATGCCAAGTCAGCCACTGCCTCTGTTTGTCCACTGATGGGCAGCATGCAAAGGCTTGCACAGCCTTAAGAGGCCTCATTAGAGACCCACATTGTGTGTTTAACAACAAGGCTTATGTTGAGGTCCTGTCTCAATTGCGTCTCTTGTCTTTTAATATAAAAGCTTTTCAAACTGTCTCACTCTGGCTAGAGGAAGCATCTTTGAAACAAGGCCATTTGGATGATTGAAAACGGGGTTGTTAGAGCTGTAAGGATAAGAGTGACCATGTGGATACCTTTGAGACAACCACCAAGGGCAGGAGTTTCTAATTTCACTGCTACCCTTCAGGCCTTTCTCCCACACCCCATAGTGTTTATTGTCTGATAACCATTGGATTGGGGAAAGTCCTCAATTTTTCTTCCCAACTGGAGAGTTAAGCAGAGTGAACAAGATTTAAATTCAGGAAGCTTGGTTAAGAGCTCCAAGTGGAGATACCTCTCTTTTCTCTTCTGAAGTCAAAAATAGAATACAAGTTATTCAAACATTAATAAGAAGGGAAAAATGGGCTGAGTGAGGTGGCTAACACCTGTAATCCCAGTACTTTGGGAGGCCAAGGCAGGTGGATCACTTGAGGACAGGAGTTTGAGACCAGCCTGAGCAACATGGAGAAACCTCGTCTCTACTAAAAATACAAAAATTAGCTGGGTATAGTGACAGGTGCCTGTAATCCCAGCTACTTGGGAGGCTGAGGCAGGAGAATCACTTGAACCAGGGAGGCACAGGTTGTAGTGAGCTGAGATTGTGCTACTGCTCTCCAGTCTGGACAACAGAGCAAGACTCTGTCTCAAAAAAAAAAAAAAAAAAAAAAAAAAAAAACAGAAAAAGTCTTTAACTAAATGAAAGCAATTCAAAGGGAGTAAGAGAAAGAAGTTCTTGTCCCTATGGTCTAGTCAACTACTCTCAATTTAAAGACTCTCCAAAGCACAGTTTTTGTGTTAAGGGCATTGAAAATTTCCTCTGTGCTAATTACTTTTCAATAAGTCTTTTTGAAAACATTTATTGAGTATATACTATGTGGTAGGCACTGGACAGCCAAAATTGATAAATTGATAAATGTGGAATGTCCATATATTTGAGTGTATAGCATAAAGAGTTGTTCACACAGTAGGCAAAGGCTTACAATAGGGACCTAAATACTCTCCAACCATCACTGAGCTGGGAATCTGTGGTAATCATAAAGGGGGGCTATGTATAACTAAGGAGTTATAATTCAGAGAAAATATATTTTAAATTAATGTCTAACTTAAATGTCTATCCAAAATAAGAGAGAGAAATGTCTACTAGAAGCAAAGTTCCTTTAGCATAGATATATGCCTTTGTCCATGTCAAAAATCCAAATGTATGATATCGTTCCCTACTGCCCACAGATTAACATCCAAATTCATAAAGGTGGCATTCAGTACTCTGAGATCTGGGTTCATCTTTTCTATAAAGTCATCTTCCTTTTATTACCCTTGTTCTCTCTACACTCCAGCCTGGACCATTCTCCTACACTAGGAATCTCAGCATTTTCTTATGCCCATGTTCCCATGATTTTTTTAAAAAAATAGATTTTTTAGAGCAGTTTTAGGTTCACAGCAAAATTAAGCACAGTTCCCATCTACCCACTCCCCTTACATGCACACAGCCTCCCGACTATCAGTATCTCCCGCCAGAGTAGATTTGTTATGATCAGTAAACCTACAATTACACATCATTATCACCCAAAGTCCACAGTTCCATGGACTTTAGGGTTTAGGGTTCACTCCTGGTGTTGTACAGTCATGGGTTTGACAAATGTGTAATGACATGTATCCACCAGTATAAGATCATACAGAGTGGTTGCACTGCCCTAAAAATCCTCTGTGCTCCCCCTATTCTCATGTCTTTTAACTTCACATCTTTATCTGTTTTTCTTCTTTCTAACAAGGATGCCCTTCCCCACCATCTGTCTCCACCTTGCCTTTTGAAATTGCTACAAATGCTTCAAGACCCAAACCAAATGGCCCTCCAATGTGAATCAGTTCCTCCTGGATTCTGGTTGTATGCACCTCATGTATACCATTTGCCATAGACTGCCTTGAAGTACAGGCCTTTAGGTCTATGATTGATATTTTTTATTGGATCACTCACTCCTTTTGCAAAAGGGGTACATCTTTTTCATCTTTGGTAAATTCCAACAATGGCAAACACAGCAACTGTCATAATACACTCTTTCACAAAATGTTTCCTAAATTTAATTAGGAATAAATACCCAATTCATGAATAATCCTCCTGAGTGAGAAACAGGCCACATGTGAAATCAATTATTATTTTTAACATTATTTAGAATTCATCAACTGCCCACCCACGACAGGTACCTGTTCTGAGTCATTCACATAGAGGGAAAATGGCAACTTAATGTTTGACTTCGCTTTTTTCTCTTTAGCTATTGGAGATCTTAAGCACAATTTACCATCACATGCCAGTCCTCAGACAAAAAGAAGAAAGTTTTCAGTTCATGCTAGAAGCCATCTCCCAGATAGCCAGCTTTCACATGGAAACAGTTGTTGACAACCTTTTACAGAAGCCTCTGCCCTTTGACAGGTAGATCCTTATTGAACTGATTCCTTCTCCTAGAGAAGGCCACTATGAAAGGCCTCGGGGAGGGATTTATGGTTTGAGAGCAAGATAGCAAACAAAGGTTGAAAATAGCTCATCTGAATAACAATTTAACAATTGGTATTTGAATCACAAATGAGGTTTTTCCAAGTGCTTTTCATATATATATAAGATATATATGTATTGCATAATAATATTTTTAACCATATGCCATAGGAATAAGAGAATATTAAAAAGTGAATATTCTCCTCTTTCTGGTGGCCTAGAATGCACCTACATGAGAGGTTCCCATCTTAGCGGACTTTAACAAAGTTCTGTAACCCGAGGCTAGGTTGCTGAATTGTTATGTAAAACATCTTTCTTATCCCCAGGCATGGCAGCATGTCCATCTGCCCTTGAAATTGTGATTAGTCATAAGGTGATTTTAGAGGGAGTCAAATGGAGAAGCTTAGAGCCTGAGGGGTTGTGCCTTATCTACCAATTTCCTGCTTTGCCACCCTAGGGACACAAAGACATTGTGGAAGGCGCTGGCTGAAAAGCCAGCCTCCAGTGGGAAACTCTTGCAAGCCTTAATAGACAAACTGGAGACCGAGTTAGAAGATGACATCGCCAGGGTTGAGGCAATTTCAGTGAGTTGGACAGACTGAACCCATCGCTTGCCTGAGACTGTGCCATCCTCTATGATCTATCCCCACCTGGAGCTTGGTGCCCTCACATTAATGACACCTCCTTCTCTCATACCCTAACTTCATTCAGTTTATAGTTATGGCTGTGCTTTTGTCTGTGGCTGATCATTTTTAGAAGCAAATTTCTCATCAACCCCCACCCCCAAAATCTATGTATCTATATTTCTAGATTAGTCTAGAAGATATCCGAAGGACCCTTTTTTGTTGAAAAATCCCAATGCTGAAAACATTTTATTTTACATGACTAGTATCCCCTGGCAGTCACAGGACTAACATGGCAGTCCCTGAGTTGAGAAATTTCCAGACAATAAACCCTCCCATTTCTATGTATTTTTACTGGTGGAGAAAACAAAGTTGAAAATCAGCCCAGACAGAAGACGGTGTTGGAGGAAATGAGACTGCCTGACCAAGAGGCCCTTTCTCCTCTCAGGTGGCCTGTGCTATGTATGAAGTGATCTCAATAGGCACCTCTGTCACCGGCTTGTATTCAGAGCTGTTCACTCTCCTCCTGAAGCTGGTTAGCTGCACACTGGGCCAGAAGATGCCCACTTCTTCCTGGAGCCGCAGGCGGCATGTGATGCAGCAGGGAGAACAGCAGCAGATCCCAGACCCCTGCAGGTAAACGGCCAATCAGGAAGCATCTTCCACAGAGGTCCTAATCCCAGACTCCAGGAGCAGCATTGCAGAAGTCAGGGTCTGCCCTTTCTGTCGTAACATCCATTGTCCATGAAGAAACAAGGCTCTACTATCCCTAAGCCATGACACCATAGTTCTTCTTGAGCCAGTATCCAGTGTAGCTACACAGAATAGTCACTTAAAGAATGAGGGTCTATACTTTCTTTCCTAGAGGAACTACTGTATTATCTTTGGTTTCTATCATTGAGATCTTCCTAGAGAGGCTGGAATCTTGTGATCTTCAAGTCCACCAGGGAAAGAAGAAAAATAAAAATAAATACCATATTTCATAAACTCTGAGACTTCAGCAATTGAAAAAAAAGCATTTTTGCATACCATTGAGAAAACAGAAAAGGACTCTAAAGTAAGCAGTGAATCAATGCTTTCTTAAACTTTAAAATTTTTATTCTGTCCTTATCAAAAGAACTCTTTTAGGATTATGAGGTATAAATTTTCATTTTATATCACATCATTCTGTTTCCTTGCCTTTTGCGTAACTTTTCATTCCAATATAAAATTATAGTGCAACGTTTTTAAAGACACTTTAAACACCATTTAGATTCAACACATGTATTAGGTTGGTGCAAAAGTAATTGCTGATTTTACTATTAAAAGTAATAGTTCCAATAATACATGTAACTTTACTAAAATGATGGTAATATAAAGAGCTATACCGTAACAGGCAACAGATGTGAATGCACAGACAATAGCAACTATGTCACAAGTACTGCCTGGCCAAGAACAATTGTAACACACATCTACTGCAGGATGCATCCTGATTTTAGATGTGCTGTTTCAGAATCAGTGAAATATGGTATTTTTCACTTTTTATTCTTATGGCTTATTTTTTCTCATGGGGGGAGTGTTGACAAGATTTTGTGGCATTACTTACTGACCCACGTCCTCTGAATGTCCCCAAGGATCCTAAGGCTAAAATGTGAGCATAGGGCTGCCTGTTTTTCCCTTACACAACATCCCCTAGTCCAGGGGTGGGAAAGCATTGTGAGGAGTGGGAAGGTGAACTTGGGAATTTGCAATTCCCTATAAGGGTTGACTTAGTTTTGTAACGCTGACTGTCTTCTTTAGGCTTTCAACTGCTACTCTAAGATGTTTGCAAGCCCAAGCCATGAGAGAAGGCCTTGCAAAGGAATCTGATGAGGGGGACAACTTATGGACTCTCCTCAGCAGTCCTAGTACACATCACATAGGCGTGTGTTCACTGGCCAGGTAATGTGCAGACTTTCTAGAACCAGATACAAAGAAGAAAACAAAAACAAAAAGAAACAAACAAAAAAAAAAACAGAAAAAAAAAAAAACGTGCAATACAGGCAACTTCACTGAGCATAATGATTCACTTAAGACTAATAGTCAAAGGAGGACAAACAGGGAAGAAGAAAAGGGAGTGGGAAGAGATGGTAAGATCAGCCCCACACGCACCACTCACCTCAAGAAACGTGATTCAGGTGAACATCTTTAGACAAACTCTACTTATTTTTTGAAAGAAATATTTAATATTCACATACCTAGAATTCTGTTGAACATTTTCTTAATTGGCTTTTCAAAAAAATTTTTTTTTAATTTGGGGAACAGGTCATGTTTGATTACGTGAATAAGTTCTTTAGTGATGATTTCTGAGATTTTGGTGCACCCATCACCTGAGGAGTGTACACTGTACCCAATGTGTAGTCTTTTATCCCTCACCCCACTCCTGCTCCTTCCCCCAAACCCCCAAAGTCCAATGTGTCATTCTTATGTCTTTGCATCCTAATAGCTTAGCTCCCACATGTGAGACAGAACATACAATGTTTGCTTTTCCATTCCTGAGTTACTTCACATAGAATAATAGTCTCCAGTTCCATCTGGGTTGCTGTGAATGCCATTATTTCACTCCTTTTTATGGCTGAGTAGTATTTCATGGTGTGTGTGTGTGTATATATATATATATATATACACCACACACACACCACATTTTCTTTATCCACTCGTTGATTAATGGGCATTTGGACTGGTTTTATATTTTTGCAATTGCAAATTGTGCTGCTGTAAACATGCATGTGCAAGTATCTTTTTTGTATAATGACTTCTTTTCCTCTGGGTAGATATACCTAGTAGTGGGATTGCTAGATCAACCGGTAGATCTACTTTTAGTTCTTTAAGAAGCTCCACTGTTCCATAGTGGTTGTACTAGTTTGCATTCCCACCAACAGTGAAAAAGTGTTCTCTTTTCATGGCATCCATGCCAACATTTTTTTTTTTAATATTTTTTTATTATGGCCATTCTTACAGGAGTGAGGTGGTATCACATTGTGGTTTTGATTTGCATTTCCCTGATCATTAGTGATGTTAAGCATTTTTCCATATGTTTGTTGGCCATTTGTATATCTTCTTTTGAGAATTATCTATTCATGTCCTTAGCCTGCTTTTTGATGGGATTTCAAACTACATTTAAATTGGACAGTTGGATAGGTCATTTTAAAATTTAAGCCCTGATGAGCTTTCATCAAGTGTCTCTCTTTTTTTTTTTTTTTTTTTTTCTTTTTTTTTTTGAGACAAGAGTCTTGCTCTTTGCCCAGGCTGGAGTGTGCAGTGGGGCAATCTCAGCTGACTGCAACCTCTGCCTCCCAGGTTCAAACAATTCTCCTGCCTCAGCCTCCTGAGTAGCTGGGACTACAGGCGCACACTGCTATGTCTGGCTAATTTTTTGTATTTTAGTACAGACGCGGTTTCACCGTGTTGCCCAGGCTGGTCTCGAACTTCTGAGCTCAGGCAATCCACCTGCCTCAGCCTCCCAAAGTGCTAGGATTTCAGGCATGAGCCACCACCCCCAGCCAAGCATTCCTTTTTAGACAAATTACTTGCCTGATGAACAAATAGACTAAGCTTTCCTCCATTGTTTAGAAAAATAAGTCTCTACTAAAACGTGCATTTTCTAGGAGCATGGCAGTGTGGCAACACGGAGTCATACTGGACATCATGGAACAGCTACTCTCATCTCTCACTTCCTCCTCGGAGAACTACCGGATAACCGGCACCGCTTTCTTCTCTGAGGCAAGGGAGAGCAGCCCTCAGAGCACACTCACTGGGTCCCCTTGGGGTATTTCTCTTAGGGTCTGGAGCCCAGTGTGCACGGGAACCAGGGAAGAGAGACTTCAAAGTGGGGGGCTTTAATAGAGGAGAGACCAGCTACTGCCAGAGATATGGTACCTAAGCAGGGGGTGAAAGACGAAAAATAAACCACCTCACCCACCTCCTGCCCTCTAGTTTGCACAAGACAGAGAAAGGGGGACAATAAATCTGTGAGGGATGAAACAAAGCATTGTAGCACTGATGCTTCAAATTCCGGCCTAAAGACTATTCCAGCCAATCCAGAGAAGGAAAACTATCAGTCATTCCTGTTTTCCCTGCCCCGTTTTCCATTGAGACTAGACATCTCTTATGCAGGTAACCGGGTTCACAGCACCACGTAAGCCTAACCTGTGCACTGCTCACATCTAGAGCTCAGCCTCAGCAAGACTTGCTGGTTCCCCAGAGGGCTTCCTCCTCTGCTCCACAAGCAGTGGGGTCCTCTCTTTAATTGTACTTATGACATCTTTGGCACTCTCCTGAAGTCGGGGGGCCACACCCTTAACTAAAGGGGAGGAGTGTGTTGGTTTCAGCTCATGAAGGAGCCAATCCTTTGGAAGCATGGGAATCTGCGAGATGTGCTGATCTTGATGGATCAAAGTGCCTGGGACTCCAACGCCACTCTGAGGCAGATGGCCATCCGAGGGCTCGGCAACACAGCATCTGGGGCTCCTCACAAGGTAAAAGGCGTTCTAAGGGGAAATGGTTCACTTAAGTAGAGTTTTGAAATAATTACTTCCTAACCCACACCTAGTAGTTGCATAAAAATTAATTGGAAATCCAGATACATTGCTGAAGTAGTAGTTCTTGGGTTGAAGTACATGTGACCCTGACAAAATTTCAGTCCTCTTGTCTGAGGACTCCTTCCCTATTCCAGATAGGCACAGAACAATTTTGAAGATTAAGAGGTCTTATTTCAAAATAGGTGAAGAAACATAAGCAGTTAATGCTAGAATCTATCATCAGAGGCCTGTATCACCTGGCTCGCACCGAAGTCGTCTGTGAAAGCTTGAAGGCTCTAAAAAAAATCCTGAATCTGCTCACAGACCGAGACGTGAGCTTCTACTTCAAGGAAATAGTGCTGCAAACAAGGACCTTCTTTGAAGATGTAAGTGAGCCTGTTTAGGAATCTTCCCTCCCCAGAAGTTAAGGAACAGAAAAAGGTTTAGGTAGTGTTCACAGAAGACATTGTCAGTGTCCCACACATGTTCCTTGACCTGCCCCAGACAGGTCACCTGCACAATCTCCAAACAAGCTAATGGCTTCCTGTGTCTCCCTGCCTGGGGGTGCTCTGTGGCTTGGCAGTCATGATTGGTCTAAGCTGAGTGAGCCAGAATTGTTGGGGGAAGAAATGCCCTGGGAAGGACTCTCAAACAATAAGAAACAAGAATTTGTAGATAAATTTCCCAGCTTCCTCACCGCTCAGAAAGATTGAGCTCCACTTGTTCATAACAGTAACACACTCATTAATACTTCCTTTCTTGGCTTTCCTCCCTTCCCTATCTCATTCCCACTCCCCGACATGCTTCCTGGGCTCACCTCCCAAATAAATTACTTGCACCTAAGTCCTCATCTCAAGTATGACAGTGCTCAAAGACGAATGAGGACCTGAATAAAGACAATGTTGCTTCTAACACTACCTTTCCACTTCCAACATTCAGAGACTCATTTTATCTAGGCATCAGTAAGCTGCAGTCCATGGACCAAATCCCACCCACAGCCTGTTCTTGTAAATAAAATTTTATTGGAACACAGCCATACTCATTGATTACTTATTGTCTGTTGCTGCCTTTACACTCCACTAACAGGGTTGATTGGCTGTTACAGAGACCGTAGGACCCACAGAGTTTAAACTATTTACTGTCTGGCCTTTTAGAGAAAAAGTTTGCCTGCTCCATAATCCCAATTTCAAAAAAAGATCAGTGAGCAGTCCTAGGCAGAGGGTAATTTTCCCTTATGCCTTCCAGGAAGCACATTTTAGTATTTATTTTTGGTTATTCATTGCCATTGATGTAAAAATATTTTTAACCCAAACTTATTATTTTGTAATCTAAACCTGCTTACTCATGTGCTATTGTCAGAGGAGATGGAAAACTGCTAGTTGCCTTCTCTAGTGCATTCTTCATAAACATTAAGGCTTTATTCGATTACCTATTTACCTTACAGTCTGCAGACTTGAGAAGTCTTCATTTCCCTCATTATTCATCATAAACCTAATTTTTCTGCTCATTAAATATTTTGCAAGCCTGTGACTGAGTTGAACCTCTAAATGAGGCTCAATAAGTATTGAATAGAATCTAAGGAAATATTACCTCTCAAATCCAACCTTTTCCCATTTCTTTGCTCCATTTTTTTAAAATTTTGCCCTTTCTTCCTGATCTTGGCATGCTAACTATATGAACCTCTAGATTTTAGTCTGTAATATATGCCCACAGCATTCTTCAGTTTTGTATTTTTGCAGTTTTTCTTGTGTATGTGCTAGCCTAAAACTGGCCTTTGAAAATATCTTTCTGTTTGTTTCTAACTATTTCCTCCAATTAACCAATATCACTTTTAGGCCAGGCATGGTGGCTCATGCCTATAATCCTAGCACTTTGGGAGGCTGAGTGATCCATCGATCACTTGAGGTCAGGAGTTTGAGACCAGCCTGGCCAACATGTTGAAACCCCACCTCTAGTAAAAATACAAAAATTAGCCAGGTGTGCTGGTGCGTGCCTGTAATCCCAGCTACTCGGGAGACTGAGACAGGAGAATCGCTTGAACACAGGAGGCAGAGGTTGCAGTGAGCCAAGATCATGCCACTGCACTCCAGCCTGGGCAACAAGAATGAAACTCTGTCTCCAAAAAAAACAAACAACAAAAAAAAAAAAAAAAAAAAAAAAAAAAAAAACAGCAACTTTTAATTATCTTGTCCTCAAAAATGCTTACTGGGGTAAAAATAACAATGATATTCTTTTTCTTCATTGCACAGGGCTGAAGTCACTCCTTCAGAACCCCAGCTGTTAAGTTTCCTGGATTGTTGTTGATCTGATAATCCTTCTTATAGATCTGAGCCTCCAGTAAATCACAAGTCCACTTAACAATTTCGTGGTCAAGATAATATTTCTCAGTGTCATCAGAGAAGGATAAAATGTGCTAAAGTCTTACTGGTTGTTAGCTCAGACCTTGCTCATCTCTAATAGGTGTCAACTCCCTCATGTTTGCATAAAAGTAAAGTTGGACAAAACTTTGGCTCTTAGTTGTTCTCCAGTAATGCCATCTTTACATAAGTATATTTAACTCTATGATCTATTGCCCTGATATTTTTCTGTAGATTAAGCATAGCTCTCTATAATCTCCAAGTTTCCTTTCTTTGGTTCTTTCAATATTTAAATACTTTATTAGACTTTTCAAAACATGGTGACACTTGAATGAAATGACAGAACAGAAAATGTGGCTGCTGCCACACGCTCCATTCCCTTCTTGCTACTATTCCCTACCCTGTCACCCTGAGCAATCGCTTTACCCTCTGTGACTCAATGTTCTCAAGCAAATATGAGGACATTGGACTAGACATTCTCTAATATTTCTCCCAGCACCCAAAACCCTTTTGCCACTTTTTCTTTCAGATTTTTCATCATCCCGATTGGTCGATTGTTCCTGGACCTATCATTAGCTCATTGATTTTGCAAAATTCAAACTTTTTTAACTAGATGCTTCTCTACTTTTCTAGTACCTTGTTTTTGGTTAGCTTTCTCTTTCTAAAGAGATATCTTTTAAAAATATATCCTGACCTTACTCCTAATAAATCTAAAGAATGTGTTTCTACTTTCATTTTCATTATACAAGGTCACATCTGAGATTTTCCGGCCTTTTCCTAACAAACCATCATTTTTTTAGAAGATCTATATTAACTTTATTGTGTATCTAAATAATATTCTGCTATTCAGGACTGCTTTTTCTTTAATCCCTCTTTGTTCATATGGGTATCTTAAACTGGTTTTCTGGGCCTAAAAGTAAAAAAACTTCCATGAAATTCATCTCGCTTCATTTCTTCCCTGTCGGAACTCTGAAACATAACTCTAACAAGATAACAGGAGGCCATCTTCCTCCACCACCTTTCTCTTGTTTTCTTTTTTCTTTTTTCTTTTTTTTTTTTTTTGGACACAGAGTCCCGCTCCTTCACCACTGGAATTCAGTGGCATGATCTTGGCTCACTGCAGCCTCCTCCTTTCAGATTAAAGCAATTCTTGTGCCTCAGCCTACCAAGTAGCTGTGACTACAGGCACACACCACCAGGACTGGCTAATTTATATATTTTTAGTAGAGACAAAGTTTCACCATTTTGGCCAGGCTGGTCTCAAACTCCTGACCTCAAGTGATCCACCCGCATCAGCCTCCCAAAGTGCTGGGATTACAGGCATGAACCACCGCACCTGGCCTCTCTTGGTTTCCTAAAATCATTGCTTGCCATCCTGGACAAAAAGAAAAAAAAAAAAAAAAAAGAAAGTTCCATAACTTCACATACTCAAGAGTAGAGCTAGGCACTTCTCTGTTTAACCTCTCTAAGAACCAAGGCCCAAATTCCCAAACTGCCTGTAATCCCTTTAGAAAATATTTGGTGTCATGGAGAACAGTACTAGGCCTTGGACAATTAAGATTAGAGACCCTATAATTCTAACCTAGTAATGCAACCAAACTAAGTAAAATACACAACTAGCAGAAGCCCTCCCTGGCTTTCTCTATGAGTACCCCTGGGTATCATTCCTGTGGTCATGCTCACACTTCCCCACTGGCTACTCAAAGACAGAAATCAACTGTCTAGCATCACATAAACCCCAGACCCAGGGTTTTTTAAAACTCATGTAGTGTGGAGAGAAAGCTTCGGGAAAGAAAACGAGTTCTTGGAACATTTAGAGGCTGTGACTATGATGGACCAGTGCCTGGGTTCCAGCCTTCTTTTGCTGAAGTGGGAAGGGTGGGATTAGAGCTGAGAGTGTGCTGGCAGGGAATGGCATCTGAGAGGATATTCACCACGACATGCATTCGTCACCACAGGAGCAGGATGATGTGAGATTGACTGCCATCTTCTTATTTGAGGACCTGGCATCCCTAACAGGAAGAAGGTGGAAGATTTTTTTTGCTGAAGAAATAAAAAAGAGCCTGATCTCATTCCTTCTGCACCTTTGGGATCCCAACCCCAAGATTGGAGTTGTAAGTGCTCTCCACAGACACCTGCACCTCCTGCTCTCCCCATGGCTGAGAAGCACCAATAAACCTGGTCTAGCTGCACCAGAAGCCAGATCTAAAGTGCCAGATCTAAAGTCACCCCTTAGAACTGGATCTGAAAACCTCTTCTCCAATTCTAGGTGCTTCTTGCCATCTCTTCCCGAGTTTACTCTTCCATCCTTGAAACTGGGAAGGTGCCAGCAATGACTATAAAGCCATTCACACCACTGACTTTTACTGCTTCTTTCCCAGTACTGTTCAGCATTTTTTCCCTTCTGGAAGGAGATCCTAATGTTCTGGACTGTGATGCAGAAAACTCTGTTTTCCAGGCTTGCCGTGATGTCTTGATGGTCTGCATTCCCTTTTTGGGCCTCCAGGAACTCTACGGGGTATTAGACCATCTCCTTGATCAGGATCTACCAAGGGTCAGGGATTTCTATAGGCAATTCTGTGTGAAACTGGTGAGTGTCCAATAGATGCCGCCTCCAAAACAGGCAGGACAAGGGTCTAGACAAATCCCAGAAGGGCAAACAATGTAGCAAGGAATCTCTGGCCAGAGCCAGAACTGCCTTGGAAGGATGGCAGTGATCCTTGTTATCCTGCCACAGGACTCTCTGCTCCATTCCTAAGTCCTGACTGGGATATGTTCCCCTCGGTTCCTGAACTTCGTATCAGTTGATTAATCCCTTAAACTCTGATGCCTTCCTGATTAAATGTAGATCAAAATACGCATAAGACAATTTTCAGTCAATTAATTTATGGCTGTATGAGTGCTCACTGGCCTTTACAGATCCGTGCTGAGGACCTATAGGATGCTGAATGTCACAAAGGTTCACTTTCCAGTTGCTCTCTTTGTAATTCACATCTGTTTTAGGCCAAGAAAAACCAGGAAATTCTGTGGATCCTCCACACACACTCCTTCACCTTCTTCACTAGCAGCTGGGAGGTGATCAGGAGTGCAGCTGTCAAACTCACAGGTGAGTACACACCCCCATTTCCTACCCAGATATGTCTGCTCTTTCCATCTAGTTTTGCTTTGACCAGAAGCTGTCCAGTATAAACACTAGTATGACCAATATAACCTTTTTTATTAAATCTCAGGAAGGGCTTTTATCTTACATCTTGTAACATCCTCCCGCAAAGAAACCTGCTTCCTTTTGCAGTGAAAACTCATGACCTCTCCTGACTCACTTACACTAATTCTCCTCCCATCTGAGCCCTTCATGCTCCTTCTGGCTCCAAGTCCTTGCTCCTTCTTTTCCCCAAATCTTTGCTCCCAGCTGCTGCTCTTACATAAATATTTTTCTTCACCTCATCTCATAAGATAACCCACACTCAACATCCAAAGCTCAGTTCAAGCTGAGAGCTTTGGCAACATGATACAAGTGGGAAGTATGTTCATGTGGCGGCCAGCAACGCCTGGCTCTGCCATGTGATTCTGGAAATTGACTTAACTTTATGTTACCTCTCTGTCTGATGTATAAAATAAAACATAAGTAAGTCTCTAAAGATCCTTCTATCATGAAATTCCAAGTCTTACTTTGAAGCCTGTTCCAACTAATTCAGCCAAGAGACCACAGGCCCACTCCCTTCACCACCTTTAAGACCAAATTAAAAATATGAGGGTTCCTTCTTCACTCATATATATGATCCCCCCAACTATATTATACATTTTTTGAAGACAGAGATTCCATCTTACACACACTTGAAATCCCAACAACAACTAGCCTCCTCAGAAGATCATTCTGTGACCTCTGCCAAATATTCTGGATAAGTGACTACTTGCAGGCATGGCACTCTGGACCCAATAGAAGTCACCCTGACATCATTTTAGGGGGTGCAAAGGAAGTCATATAGTTTGCTCATTCACCAGCCTACCATTTACCTTCTCACCAGGTGCAGAGTCTAACCTGATCTACTTTTCATGGCTTCTTCCTCTATAATGACATCAGTAACATTGTCTCCTATTAACTTTAGATGCCATTATTCTCAATTTGACCAGCCAATATGTGGAGTTACTAGACAGAGAACAACTGATCACACGTGAGTACCAACCTAGTTTCTTCCCAGCATATTGTTACATTCTTAGGAAAAGAGAAAATATTGCTACTCTAAGTTCCACATGAGCCCAGAACTTGAAAATCTTAGCACTAGTTATTGTATCTGATGCTCTCTAGACACTAGAATTGCTCCAGGGTATAAAGCAACCTCCAGCTCCAGCTCTTTGCAGGCATCAGAAACACCAATAGACTACAATTTCCAATTGCCTAAACCTACTGATAACAAGGTCAGGGCTTCTCTTCCCTTATTTCAATGTTAAAAGCAATTCTTGTAGTTCCACATCCTACCTTTTAGGATAAAATGCGAGCATGAGGACCTGAGCCCCACTTGGATCTGACCCTCAGTGCTAAAAAGTTGGGCCTTGGCTTGGTTTGCCCTTCTTGCTGGGCTCTGACTCTCCTCATGTGCTTATTTGCTATTCTTGCCATTTCAGGGCTCCAAGCACTTCGTCAAGATCCTTGTATTAGTGTCCGGAGAGCAGCTGAGGCTGCTTTGCAGACCCTCCTGAGAAGGTGTAGAGAGACAAGCATTCCTCTGTAAGCCATCAAGAAATAAACTGCTGGCTTTTCCTATATCTGACTCCTGTCTTCATCCTATTACCTCACAAACTTGCAGCATTTTGAGGAAAGAGATGCTGCCTAGGATGGGGATATTGAAGTGGTGGTATATTTCTTCCTCTAGACACATGCTCACGTATGTTTATTGCAGCACTATTCACAATAGCAAAGACTTGGAATTTTATTCTAATATAAAACTTAGAATCAACCCAAATATCCATCAGTAACGAACTGGATTAAGAAAATGTGGCACATATACACCATGGAATACTATGCAGCCATAAAAAAGGATGAGTTTGTGTCCTTTGTAGGGACATGGATGCAGCTGGAAACCATCATTCTCAGCAAACTATAGCAAGAACAGAAAACCAAACACTGCATGTTCTCACTCATAGGTGGGAACTGAACAATGAATCACTTGGACTTGGAAGAGAACATCACACACGGGAGCCTATCATGGGGAGAGAGGGAGGAGGGAGGATTGCATTTGGAGTTATACAGTGTAAATGGCAGTGGATGGGGTGTTGTGAAGTTGATGGGTGCAGCACAGCAACATGGCACAAATATACATATGTAACAAACCTGCCGCGTTATGCACATGTACCCTAAAACTTAAAGTATAATAATAATAATAATAATAATAATAATAATAATAAAAAGAATCTCCTTGGTGGCTTCCATTAGCAAAAGCAAATCCACAAGTTCACTTCAGGAATAACCTGTGATTTGGATAGTGACAGCCATGGCTTTGCCTAAGATAACGATGTATCTTGAGAAAGTAAGTCCCAGATACCAAAAGTGACAGAACTTGTCCACACAATTCCTGCTGCCACTAAAAGAGTCCACTGTTATTTTCCACATGTAGCCCTTTCCTCTCAGATCTTTGTCAGCTTTGAATTACTACCCACTCCTCTTTTTAAATCAGTCTTACATATTAAACTTTGCCTACTATTCTCTCCAAGTTTATAATTTATGCTTATCAAGACTGTGCCAGGAGCTTTTCTACAAAGGCCTGTCTGACATTCTGATAAATGTCATCATTTCCTTTCTGCTTTTATCCCAGAGCAATAGTGCATATGCACACACCCAAGCACGTGTATGTGTGTGTGCGTGAGTGCATTCCTTTCTTCACTAATATCAAGAACATTATTATTTCTTGTTTCAGCCACATAGTGAGGTCACATCGTGAAATTGTGTAAAAGAAGTTTCCTTTTTTTTTTTTTGAGATGGAGTCTAGCTCTATCGCACAGGCTGAAATGCAGAGTACAATCATTCACTGCAAGCTCCACCTTCTGGGTTCCGCTCGTTCTCCTGCCTCAGCCTCCTGAGTAGCTGGGATTACAGGCACCCACACCATGCCTAGCCTAATTTTTGTATCTTTTAGTAGAGACAGAGTTTCACCATGTTGGTGTAGGCTGGTCTTCGAACTCCACAGCCTCAGGTGATCCACCCACTTTAGCCTCCAGTGCTGGAGTCTAGTATAAGCCACAGCCCCCAGCCCCTAAAATGAAGTTTCTAACACAGATACTGGCACTCTTAAAGCACTGTCATGATCATTGTGTAGCACCATTGTATATTACTTTAGAATGTCCTACAAATTTTTATTACTTGTATTGTAATATCTTATCGCCAAACTCTTTGGGAAACATCTTTGTTTATATAAAACCTGAGGGAGCAATAGAATCTTTTTGGGTAAGGGTATGGACTAGGGGAGTTAATTTCTTTATTCAGTTTGCAAACATTTATTGAATGCATTTTATATATTTTATAAGACATCGTTATAGCCCTGGGAGACCCGCAACAGGAGGGAAAATGAAAAATTTTTGCCTTCATGTGGAGCTCACATTCTATAAAATCTGTGTATAAATTCCAGGTGAGCCAGCCTCCCAGATAGCTCCAGTGATTCTGTACCTGGTATTCATGCCCTGGGAAGTCCTCCTGCAAAGAATAAAACTGACCTGTGCAACCAATACAATATTTCGGTAATGATGGAATATGACTTCAAGACAAAGGTCATAAGTGATAGTGCATTTCTTTTTTTTTTTTTTAATTTATTTATTATTATTATACTTTAAGTTGTAGAGTACATGTGCATAACGTGCAGGTTTGTTACATATGTATACTTGTGCCATGTTGGTGTGCTGCACCCATTAACTGCGTCATTTACATCATTCAACTCCCAATCACAGGCTCCCTCCCCCCTCCCCCTCCCCATGATAGGCCCCGGTGTGTAGCGTTCCTCTTCCCGAGTCCAAGTGATCTCATTGTTCAGTTCCCACCTATGAGTGAGAACATGCGTGGTTTGGTTTTCTGTTCTTGTGATAGTTTGCTAAGAATGATGGTTTCCAGCTGCATCCATGTCCTACAAAGGACACAAACTCATCCTTTTTATGGCTGCATAGTATTCCATGGTGTATATGTGCCACATTTTCTTAATCCAATCTGTCACTGATGGACATTTGGGTTGATTCCAAGTCTTTGCTATTGTGAATAGTGCTGCAATAAACATACGTGTGCATGTGTCCTTGTAGCAGCATAATTTATAATCCTTTGGGAATATACCCAGTAATGGGATGGCTTGAGTCATATGGTGCATCTAGTTCTAGATCATCGAGAATCGCCATACTGTTTCCATAATGGTTGAACTAGTTTACAATCCCACCAACAGTGTAAAAAGTGTTCCTATTTCTCCTCCTCTCCAGCACATATTGTTTTCCTGACTTTTGAATGATCGCCATTCTAACTGTGTGTGAGATGGTATCTCATTGTGGTTTTGATTTGCATTTCTCTGATGGTCAGTGATGATGAGCATTTTTCATGTGTCTGTTGGCTGTATGAATGTCTTCTTTTGAGAAATGTCTGTTCATATCCTTTGCCCACTTTTGATGGGGTTGTTTGTTTTTTTCTTGTAAATTTGTTTGAGTTCTTTGTAGGTTCTGGATATTAGCTTTTTGTCAGATGAGTAGATTGCAAAAATTTTCTCCCATTCTGTAGGTTGCCTGTTCACTCTGATGGTAGTTTCTTTTGCTGTGAAGAAGCTCCTTAGTTTAATGAGATCCCATTTGTCAATTTTGGCTTTTGCTGCTGTTGCTTTGGTGTTTTAGACATGAAGTCTTTGCCCATGCCTATGTCCTGAATGGTACTACCTAGGTTTTCCTCTAAGGTTTTTATGGTATTAGGTCTAACATTTAAGTCTCTAATCCATCTTGAATTAATTTTCGTATAGGAGTAAGGAAAGGATCCAGTTTCAGCTTTCTACATATGGCTAGCCAGTTTTCCCAGCACCATTTTATTAAATAGGGAATCCTTTCCCCATTTCTTGTTTCTCTCAGGTTTGTCAAAGTTCAGATGGCTGTAGATGTGTGCTATTATTTCTGAGGACTCTGTTCTTGATAGTGCATTTTTAGGATTCATTCATGATGTGTTGTGGAGACCTCAAGCATCCTGTGGAGAGGTCCATGTAGCAAAAAAACTCCTGCAAGCAATGAGCACTGAGCTGCAAGGCATGTAAGTGAATCATCTCTGGAATGGACCCAAGAGCCCATTAGTCTACAGATGATTGAAACCCCAGCTCACTCACATTCACTGCAACCTGAAGTTTTGAGATAAAATACACCTGCCCAATTAAATTTGAATTTCAGATAAATGTTGAAATTTTGGTAAAAATATAATCTAGTTATATATTACACTAAAACATTATTTCTTGTTATCATGAATTCAAATTTAGCTAATTCAAATTTAGCTGAGCATCTTATATTTTCATTAGCAAAATCTAGCAATTCAAGCAAAATCTAATGAGAATCTTTAACCAGAATCATTAACCAAGCTATTCCCAAATTCCTGAACCATGAAACTATGTGAAATAATAAAACTTCGGTGTTTTAAGCCACTAGGTTTGGAGGTAATTTGCTAGGCACCAGTAGGTAACTGTTACACAGAGAGTCCATGATCCCACCAAAGTTGTATAAGAATTTCTGCATAGAATTGCATAGGTACATTTTCTGGGTAATGGCTTTCATTAACTTCTTAATGGAGTCAGAAGCTATTCCCAAGCACAACATATGTGAAACAGAGCAAAAAAAAAAAAAAAAAAAAAGAAGAAGGCAAAAGAGATGGGTTTAGTTGAAATCTTTTGGCAGATATTTTAAGTCAGATGACCTTGCAAAATAGTGCTATCCAATATAACTTCTGCAATGATAGAAATCATTTTTTCTTTCTGTACTGACCAATATGGTTGTCACTAGCCATGTGTATCAACTGAGCATTTCAAATGTAGGTAGTTGAGGGATTCTATTTTTAATTTTATTTAATTTTAATAATTGTATTATCATTTTTTTAAATCAAACCTAATTAATTAATTTAATTAACAGAAATTTAAATAGCCATGTATAGCTAGTAATTATGGTATTGCACAGGACAGTTTCAGAATGTAGGGCAAAAAGTATTAATAGAATTTGGGTTGAGCCACCCCAGAACTATAGGACATCCTCGACAGGAGTGTAAATTCACTCACATAGGACTTTGTCAGGTATTGATATATCTTCACCACAGCCTCCATCCTGACATGCAGCATAGGGCCTTTCTCATAGATTGATTAATAGAGATTAGGTAGAATGGCCACACATAACACACATTGCCTCTGAAAATGTTAACTGTCTAAACCCTCATCTTAGACAGTTCTAAGACTTGTTCTAAGACGCTCTTTCTCACAAATCCTGGATCCACCACTTACTAGCCATTTGACTTTGAAAAACCCCTTAACCTCTCTGTACTTCAATTTCCACAACTGTAAAATCAGGATAATGATTTGATTATTATTATCTGACTAAATATGTTAGTCCATTCAGGATGCTAAGACAAAATATCTTAATAATCTGCAAGCCACAAAATTTATGCTCACAGTTCTGGGACTGAGAAGTCCAAGATCAAGGTGCCAGTAGATTTGGTGTCTGGTGAGGGCTCGTTCTTCATATGTTCCTTCTTGCAGTTCCTTCTTGCTGTGTTCCTTCTTGCTG